GCTATTATGTAAAATGTGTAGAACAGATGTCACATGCATATTCACCTGTGCTACTTATTTTTACATAATAGCAGTAAAGGGATGTTCCTTTGTCTACCACAGCAATTATTGAGGGTAGAATGAGGAATTGTATATTTTGTCCGCTTTCTTTGTCCGTCATATTCATAGTGAGAGGAAACTCGTTTTAACGAAGAGATAGAGACACTATGAATATGACGGACAAAGAAAGCGGACAAAATATACAGTTCCTCAGGTAGACAAAGGAACATCCCTTCACTGCTATTATGTAAAAAGGTGAATATGCATGTGACACCTGTTCTACACATTTTTACATAATAGCAGTGAAGGGATGTTCCTTTGTCTACCTGAGGAACTGTATATTTTGTCCGCTTTCTTTGTCAGTCATATTCATAGTGCCCGCCCCCCCCCCCCCACTCAGGGTTCGAAATGACCGCATGCGTGTTGCCAAAATGTCCGGTAAAGGGGTACTTTTCGTGCGACAAAGTCCGGCCCGAGAATTGTAAAAAAAAGGGGTGTATTTGACTTTTCACCCGGAGATTTCTTTAAAAAGGGGGTGTTTTTTCTTTTTCTCTCTCATCTCTTTGCACTCCTAAGAAATTATTCCGAATTAAGGGGGGTACATTGACCATTTTTCATGATTTAGGGGGGTCTCCAAGGCAGGAAAAGCCCGCGAAAAGCCCGCGAAAGGGGGGTTCGGAAATGTTGGCAGTCCTCAGATAGGGGGTGCTTTCAAAAAGAGGGAACGAGCATATGCGTACCCTAAATAACACTGAGTGGGGGGGGGGGGGGGCCGGGTCATAGTGAGAGCTCTGTTATAATGAGATAACTCGTTATAACAAAGTAAATCTGTTTGTCCAGCTCTTTATATTGAATTTAATTGAATTGAATTCATTCACCACTTTTATAAAAACATGCAAAGTTAAAGAATACAATAAAATATTTTTTATAAACATCGATAAGCCAATAAAATGGAAAATACACCATAGGAAACTACAAAGTTGTTGGATCATCTAAAAATTTACACAGAAATTATGGATGGATGATTCTACAAAAAGTTAACACAAGAAAAGGGACAAAGAAGTAATACGATGGTTATTACACACATAGAGAGGTGCGGTTAACATAATTATTCAAAGCTTCCGCATCAGTTGAAGTTGTAGATTATGCTTAAAACTTTTTCAAGATGAACACTGTTTGAGTTTTTGGGGTAGTTTGTTCCAGATAGTGGGTCCTTGCCATAAAAAGATACTACAGTATTTTAAAATGAAGAATGACTGTTGAAATCCTATGAATGGCCGGACTCCCGCTACGCCATTGGGTACATAGTTAGAGTCTCAGCCAATCACAAAATTACTAAATATGTCAATTCTTTGAAAAGTACATTTTTCAGGAAGTAAAATAAATAAATCAAAATAAAATAAAACATGCATACAGGGGCGGATCCAAGTCCTGACAAATATGTTACAAGCAAGCTTTCTTTCTCTTTTATTCTCTTTACCTTCCTTCCTTTCTTTTTTATTCTCTTTTCCTTCCTTTCTTTCTTTTTTCTTTCTTTGATTTTGTTCTCTTTTTTATTTTCCGTTTTCGATATTTGCTCTTCCTTCATTTTCTCTTGTTTTGCTTCCTCCTTTTTTGCAACAATACACTATTATTTTCTTTGCATCTTTTCGTCTGAAAATAAATATGATAAGGTTTGCACAAGTCAGGGAGATTTCCTTTGCAAGAAGGTGATAGTGACCTCGGGAGCCTGGACTAACGATGTCCTGTCATCCATAGGACTAAAACTACCAATCACAGTCACCCAGGAACAGGTCACCTACTTTGCGACCCCTCACATGAACGAGTTTACGAAAGACAGGTTGGTCCATATGATTTATAAGGATGGATATATAGATGGATTGGTAGATTGATGAATGAATAGCTAGATGGAAGGATATAATAGAGGATATTATAGAGGAGTGGGCTGATACATAAAATGGATAGTTACATGAAATGACAGATACGTAGATGGATAGATAGATAGGTAGATGGAAAGATAAGTAGGTATAGATAGATATATATTTATATATATATATAGATGGATGGATGGATGGATGGACTGATGGATAAAGGGATAATGGTGTTTCATCATCAATAGGAGTAAAGATCCACTCACTGTCACACAATATAAGGTCATTTACTTCGCAAACCCTCAAATAAACGAGTTTAGAAAAGACAGGTTTGTATGTGGATTGTGAAAATTCATAGATACTGATGGATTGGTAGATTGGTGGATGGATAGATTAATAGATAACGGGTGAATTATGAGCGAGTTAACAAAAGACATTTTGATAATATGTAGTTTACAAGAATAGATTATGTTGACAGGCAGAAGTAGGTAACGTGGTTGTTTCGTGGGAGGGGGGGGGGGGCGGAGCAGAATGAAGGTAACAAAATATTGGGGCACTACTTTCCAATGCGAGAACAGGTAACAAGTCATTTCGTTCGTTCTTCAAATCTCGTTAAATAAAACATAACATAGTGGGTTTGCGTGGGGGTTACTGATTCAGATTCCCTCTTATTCCCCCCTCTCCTCTCCCCCTCCTCTTTCCCCCAAGATTTCCAGTTGTCTTCCTTCACACCGGGTTGCCAGCTGCCCCTTACTTCATACCAATCCACGGCAACACAGGGTTCAAGACGGGACTCGATCTGGGAGGACCTGTTATTACCCCTCATACCAGGACTTTTATCCCCGATGAGAGGAGGAGGAAAAAAGAGAGGAACTACGTAGCGGAGCTGTGTCCGAGGGTGATGAAACCCCTTATACTTTATCCGTTTACCCTTTTAGTTCGTAGTCAATACTGATACAAATATTATTGAAATATCATGGATTTTGATCATAATTATGTTGATATTGATGATGGTAATTATGATAATAATATAGACAAATATCCGCCCGGTCGGATTATTAACATTATTTTAATGTTTGATCTCACTAAGAATATAATTTAAACATCGAGGATTTTGATCATAATTGATGTTGATATTGATGATGGTAATTATGATAATAATATAGACAAATATCCGCCCGGTTGTAGGAGATTATTAACATTATTTTAATATTTTATTTCACTAAGACTAAGATGGATTCAGAGGAGCCATACGTTTCTTCTGTCTAAAAATAATTCATAGAATCAGTACAACGCTGATGATGATGATGATGATGACGATGATGATGATGACGATGGCTATAATGAAGATGATTATGATAAAGATGATGATGATGATGATTATGACGACGAAGATGATGGTGATGATGATGATGATGATGATAATGATTATGATATTGATCATCATCATGATTATGGTAATGATGATGATGATCGTCATCACGGGTTATCGAATTAAACAACCTGTTATGTAAAAGAAATACGGAAATCACCTATAACACGCTGTAAACTTTGACCAATCAGAAACGCCTTCCTGTCTTGCGATGGAAGTTGATTCACTACATCAAAACTCGTATTTATGCCAAAGTCCTCTCATGATTCCATCACTTCACCTCACATCTCGTTAAAAATGTAGAAGATTGAAAACATGATTTATTTCTGATCACCTTAGTTCATGTTAATCATATTGCATTCACGTTTTCAATTTTTAATCGCGTTCTAGGCCCTTGGACCAACCCTTTACACCAAAACGTGCTTGTACGCCCTGACTCCTGACAGAAATTACATAATGGATACATGCGAGGAGGCTGGACATCGTGATATAATAGTGTTTGTTGGTGCTGCCCACGCATACAAGTAAGTTAAATTTCGCTTGCCCCGGCCCCCAAGGGGTGGGTGGGGGGGGGGGGGGGTGATAAGAAAGGAATGAAGGGAAAAGGGGTGGTGGGGTTATAAGATAAATATTCCTGCGATAATTGCTTCGTCAGCATCCTTCTTTTACCGAGTTAATCTTTAGTACAGCCTTGGAATAAACACTATTTAAACCGATACCCTGATCCTAACCATTACCCTACTTTAAAAAGAGCGATTATCGCTATAGAGCAAATGTTAGAGCACCGGAAAACCATATTTAATGGGTCTCTTTGCGTTTCCACGCTTTCATCTCGAAATGAAGAAAAGGAGAAAAAAGAGAAAAGGAGAAAAAGGAGAAAGAAGGAGCACAGCAAGAGGAAGAAGAAGAAAGACAAAAGGCAAAGAAATATAATGGAAAACGAGGAATTGGAAGAAAAACATGGAAAAGGAGGATAAACAGAGAGATAGAGAAATATTGTCATCTGTCTAAAATTAAAAAGTACCTTATCAATGCCAAGTAAATTAAATACAAGTATAATGGATGTGAAGCTATATGAACGTCTGAAATCTATCAAATGTTTGCATTTGCTATACCTAGAATGGCCCCGGTCCTCGGAAAGATCCTGAGTCAACTGGCGATAGACGGGAGGACAACCTATGACATCTCGTCCTTCACCATGAAGAGGCCGGCTATCAGTGATCCTAGCTACCCACCCTGCTTCAAGTTAGATGTGCCTGTCAAAGACGACATCTTACCCTCCTACCTCTGAACACTCAACGATGTCGTACCTACAGGGGACACAGGATCATCTCCCCCCCCCCCAATCTAGAAGGGGGGATGAAAAATATATAAGTAGAAGGCGGGACAAGAGAGAAAGGAGAAGTTAGAAGGGGGAAGAACAAGGAAGAAAACTCCCGGAACGCTTCCCGCACTCTCCCTTTATAATCAGTACCTTTTTCAATTCGCAATTATTTTTGTCGAGTAAGACCGATTCCCCCATCGTTTCAGTGCCCCCCCCCCCCCACTAGTGCTACGCTACTGACTGAGATCGTCCAACCCCGGAGTATAGTCTTTTGTGTGTGTAAAATAACCATTTCAGGGGGTGTTTCATAAAGCTGTTCGTAAAGGTACGTATGGCTTTACGAATGACTTGTATATGAAGTGCCAGATAGGATGCCCAAAGTTTTTCCTGATATTTCCAATAACCTAAATTAAATTATGGCACAAAATATACTTTGCATTAAAAATGTTTGTTATAATAAGAATGTTAATCTACATCTGCACAGTTCAACTTTATTTGATGCAGTTAATAATGATTGAGCATCCATTTGGCTTTTCATATATAAGTCGTTCGTAAAGTCATGCGTAACTTTACGAACAGCTTTATGAAACACCCCCAGTTCTTCTTTATTTTTTTTATAATAATATGAACATATCCACATCTTTAGCATTTGCCTCCATTTCTGGAGGGATATACGTGGTTTTCTAATATTTTCTTCTATCTGTAAACGAAAATTTAATAGGTAAAACACAATGGCCCAAATTCACAAAGGAGGTTTGTCGACAAACCTCCTTTTGTTTCGCCAAATTGAAATTGAAATTAGACATGAAATATTTCTTTATATTCCTTTCAACTTCATTCCAAAACTTAATGACTTCGTTACAAAAAAGAACATATGCATACAATCACCTGTTTGATTACAATAATAACATTGCTCAGTGGAATTTATTTTCCATTTAAACAAATTATATGGTATTGCTAAAATATTGTATATAAACAAGTATAATAATCAGTATCAATAGTATGGGCAAATTTTTGACATTTTTGTTATACTCTGATCGTGCATGATAGTCAGTTTTAATATGTTCTTTGTTTTTTGTGCTGTTCCTTTTTTCTCGTTTTCCTGTATTTATGTTTTTAGGGGTAGGATTTTATAAAAGGAACTTCCCTCCTTTCTGCCTATCCCAAATGCTCTTATAAATTGCCATTGTATTTGTTATCACTTTCTTGGGTGTTTTTATTTTTTATAACTCCATTCTGTATTTGTATGATTTAAATGTTTTTTGAAGAGTGTTGAATAAACTTTGAATTGAATTGAATTGAAGTGTACATAGTCATTCCAATGGCATGACGCATTAATTGATGGAGAGGGAGAGGGGGAGGGTGGGTGGGGTGGGGGGGGGGTGGAAGATATAGGGGTAGGCCATCGGGTTTATTATTCGCATAAGTGGCAAATTAACTATAGGGTATTGGATAGGAAAGGTCAGGGAGTGATCATTTTGTTGTTTGTTCAAGTATGATTTCAGTATTTACAGTACATCCTCTATACAATATTGTTGCAAACTTTAACAAAATGAATGATAATTATGGAATCATGCATGTGATATTAATGTAAGAAGGTCACAAAACTTGATGCTTTTGAAAGCATTTAATGTTATTCTAACTCTATGAAATAAATAGAATGATATTCAAAACTCATCTCAAGTCAAATGCTTTTTATTTCTTATGATTTTAATTACAACTTTTGATGCACAATTGAAATTTGATGCTATTTAACTGTTATTATCTAGTTCGCTCCTATATCTCATCCCTTTCTAATGTCAATGACTTTACAAAAAAATTCAAAATTACTGTTGTTATGCTTTTGGGGTAAGTCCGATGTTGTCAAGATTGCTCGTTAAAAAAAAAAACTATATTTTTGTACCTAATAAGATAGTGAGTTTTTATATTATTATTATTATTCATTTTTCAAACTGCCGATGTGAAGTGGTGCCCACTTTGTAGCTGCTTGACCTATATAGTACTAGTAATGAATAGAAAAATGGTTTATTAATTCATTATGCGTGGTATTCCCTACTATGGTATCAATGAATAGGAAGCTACGCTATTCAGTTCTATTATCAATAGCCGGCATCAGGTCAGGGATATTCGAATATTTACTACTTAGATCTGTGTGACATAGCATCAAAGAAAACGACCCTCGATCCCTTCATGCATATCTTCGCCATCATGGCCCCCCTCAACGATTTTTCTGATTGTTCGGGAACGCATATGGATGGCGCCCCGCCGCTCGGTGACTTTTTTTTTTGGAGTCTTGCGCAACTTCTAAAAGAATTTTTTTGAAAATCGGACCTACGGTTACAAGGTCACGTGACCTTTTGTCTTTGCATGTCAGCTCGAAAATCGCTCATTTTCGTGATTTGTGTACAAAACATATGGAAATTTCATTTTTCCTAAAAAACAGATCAAACATTGGTTATTGGGTCTTGGTTAAAGTTTAGGTGGTTGTTTTGGGAGTCAAAATAGTTGAATTTTACTTAGAAATGAAATAAAACAACAAAAACAATAAAATACATAAGTTAAAAAAAATGAAATACATAAGAAATTATCAAAACAAGGGATAACATAAGGAATAAGCTGGCTCTTCCATTTTTTTTTGTCGTATTATTATTCAGAATGGTCTAATGAATATATGCAGTGAAAAAGAATGCTTAAATATGAATAATATATGATTTATGGGTAAAAATGTGATTTTTATGACCTTACTTGCATAAATTACCATAAATATGCAAATGAGTGAATTTTTTCAAAAGATTGAAATTATCATAGTATTCTATACAATTCAGTTGACATGCATGCACATTTTCGCGGAGATCGGCCGCTTCACGGCCGATATCTTATGGGGGGGGGGGGGGCATTATTGCCCGGGCGTACTAAGACCTCAAATAGCCCGGCCTTTAAATGCGTTCATAACCTAGCCCCTTCTTACCTTCGGGTAGGGCTTAATCAATCCTAATGATGTACATGAGCACAGGCGCGGATCCATTAATTTCTTAGGGAGGATTTGAAATCATCCGAACCAAATATTGGTACGTAATGGTAAAGCAGTAGCGTAATGAGCAAAAGCGTTTGGAAGGGGGGGGGGGGGGGGGGAGAAAGAAAAAAAAATCCCCATCACCACCACTCTTACATGCAGTACCCGCTGAACGTTTTTTCAAAGTGTGTGGGGGAAGGCTAAAGTATTTACAATCAGGTAGAGCGTAGAGTAAATCGGCTTGGGGTCTAGGGTAAAGCCCCGGCGGGGGCCAAAGGGTGGAGCGCCCGGAAGCTCAGGGGTTTTAGGCTTTTGATTACGGTCAGATGAGCATATTTTGATACCTTATTTGTGACACTGGCAGGTCACTAATTGGAGTGGGTTCCCGGGGCTGAGCCCCTGAAGCTCGGTCTTTTCTTAGGCATTAAATTACGGTCAAATGAGCATCCAGGGGCCCGCCTTATAGGCCCTATATGGAATCCAGGGGACAGAGCCCCGTATCGGAAGCTCAAGGGTTTTGGCATTTGATCACGGTCAGATGAGCATTTTTTGATACCTTATTATTTTGTGAGACTAGCAGGTCACCATTCTTCCTTTCTTTCTCTCTTTCTTTTTATTTCTCTTTTTCTGGAGGGACCTAGATCCCCCCTAGGCCCTACTTGGAATCCAGGGGACAGAGCCCCGTACCGGAAGCTCAGGGGTTTTAGGCATTAATTTTAATCACGGTCAGATGAGCTTATTTTGATACCTCATTATTTTGTGACACTGGCAAGTCACTTCTTTTTTCTCTCTTTCTTTCTCTTTCTCTTTAATATACTTTTCCTGGGGGTAGCGCAAGCCCCCCCCCCCCCCCCGAGCCCCGCCGTTTTGCGGCCCCAGACATGAATAAGATAAGTTTATGTGGGTGTCATCATGGTCATATAAGCTAACTCCCTCGAAACCCGCCCTAAACACTGAGCTTTACGTCGGCTCTTGCCGACAGGAACTATGTTTGTATCTGTATATCAAACATTATTACATTTATTCAGGGCATGTGAGTTTAAAGTCTCACCTCCCTGATTTATTATTACTTTTTCAGTCCCAATGGGAGAAAGAGAGAGAGAGAGAGAGAGAGAGAGAGAGAAAGAGAGAGAGAGAGAGAGAAAGAGAAAGAGAGCCAGAAAGAGACAAGTGAAAAGAATACAATACACCTCATTGATCTAATGAAGTCTCAGAAACTCAATCCACATATGCCCTATTTACAAATAAATCATATATTTTGCCGAAAATCCAGGTGTTAAAAAATAATATTTGTTTTCTCCAATTTTATTGTTGCTGTTGTTGATGTTGATTAAAAAAAGAAAGAAAATAGGGACCTAATGGGGGGGGGGGGGGGGGGGGGGGGAGCAATTTTAAAACATTTTCGAGGGCCAAAAAAGAAACAAATTGGTGCTCACTACCCCTTAAGCTTTTCGTAATTTGTATGTTCATTACGAAAGCGTGCGACATTTTTTTTAATTTTTTTTTTTAAAAGCAAAGTATACATCTTTCTATAGAAAATTGTGTTGATTCCACAATGTGCCGGTGTTAAAGTAATTTAGGTATTGTGAAGGGTTAAAAAAAGGAAAGAACAAAGAAGAACAAAGAGGAAAATAATTAAATAGAAAGGAACTTGAGTAAGACCCATCGGCATCGGCAAAGAGAGAAAGCAAGAGAGAGAGAGAGAGAGAGAGAGAGAGAGAGAGAGAGAGAAAGAGAGAGAAGGGTCATGAAATACATGATTTATGTTAAGCGGCAGTTGATGATAACAAAATCAACTTGAAAATTATGTTTTGTCTTGATATAAGGTAATATGCATTTTCAGTGATATTGCAATATTCGTGGGGATGTACGTTGGGCTCTGATAAAATCCTGGCCCTGTATCTATAATAAAAATGAATAAAAAGGTAGCAGGGAAAATATTGAGCTTTCAACTTCTTGATTTTGTCTTTGCCGAATAAATAATAATCATGAAATGAAATTGGAAAAGAATTTGAAATACACAGTGCACGTAGAAGCTTTTGTCTTGCACTAATCTTAGTGAACTCTAAACTCAACAGATACCAGATTTTCTTGATGTACAAACAATTTTGAAATTCGTTTCTACATCCCCTCCCATCCATCTCCGCAGTATCGAAACAATAGGGACTTTTAAATTTGCCGAACGACAACGTGGATTGTTACGATCGACGTCCTTTTAATGCACTGCATTGAATGGACGTCACACGTATCAGTCCACGCAAATCTAAAAGTCCCTATTGCAAGGTCCCTACACTAGATTACGTAATACCAGGTGTGTGTGTGTGTGTGTATTGGGTTTTTACAGACGTGTATCAATCAGATATGATTATTTACGTCTGGGACCGACCTTTAAACGTCACCATCCGAAAGACGTGACTCAGTTTCGAACCTGCGTCCTCGGCTGAATCAGTTTGTAACTTCCACTTTTTAGCTGGATTACAGGCGCACGCCACAACGCCTAGTTAATACCAGGGGTGGTGTTGAAGTTCAGAGGTAAGAATGGACCAATGGGAAAGGCGAGATAGGTCACCGCCCTCATTACGCCCACCGTATACCCACTACCATCGAACAGTTCCGCGCGCAAACGTATCGAATCGAATCGTACGGTTATAATCTACACATACAGCTAGCGCGCGTGCCGTATCAAACGCATATTACGTGCGTTCTTCGTACCACATCACATGTACAACGTAGCTATACCGCGTACCGTCGATACCAGCGCATATATTTACGATCTGGCGAAATAAAAAATACAGGAACTCTTCAGACTTTTGTTTGATCTTTCCCCTGATATTGGAGTGAATTTTTCAACATGCTTCCTGCGAGAAAAGCTGTCGGTCTCGGACTGTTAAACAGAATTCTCTCGACGTAAGTCACCAACTAGATCTAGATCTATAAAGCATGCGTGCACTAAACAGCTAAGTCAGTGAAGTCAGTAAGATAGTGCAGTAGATCTAGAGTCTATACAGACTACAGTACTCAGTAGAAGTGAATGCTGAATATTTACTAGGCCTAGACGTGAAACAGCGGCCAGCGGAGTGGCATTTTAAAATTGTTATTGTTTATTTCTGTAAATGGTGACTTAACATACAACTTTAGTAACACAATGTTATGCAAATAAATAACATCACAGTCATGATCGATCCGGAAGTCGTTATTTTTTTTGCAGTCTCCATATTTTGTTCTGCTCTTTCTCTCCTGTTTTTTCTCTTTCCCCCCACTCTCTGTCTGGTATTCAGTGGTATTAGTTATTACTTTTCTACTTTCTCTTCTGTCTTCTCCCTAATTCTCTTCTCCATCTCTCTATCTGGCATTAAATGCTATTACTTTATGATGCAGTTAATGCCTAGATTACATTTGGCCTGCGATAAATCTATGGAGCCTGTATCCTGCCTGTATCCCCTTTTCCGTGTGGCCCCCGCCTTTATGATTTTGTTTCGCAGGAAGTTATACAAATTTGAAAAATCGTTAGCCCGTAGCCCGTAGACATATGTCGTAGGTGGCACTGCACATTCCCTGCAAGGGCATCGCACTGAGGCCTCGCGCTGATCGTGCAGCAAACACACAATTTTTCGGTGAACATGGGGGCAAAAAAACGCCCAAAACAGCACGCGGGTGCACAGTCACTGCACCTTCCCCTGAGGGCCAATACAAGAAATGGCAAGATAATGTAAACACAAACATCGTAGCCCGTAGCCTCCTACGATACCCCCCAAAACACATGAAAAATCGTACGGCGCCCAGGGCGAATGTAATCTAGGTATTGTCACTTCTGTCTCATTTTAATTTTTTTAAACAAATATGTGAGTTTATTCTACGTTGTATCAAGATGTCTGTGCCTCCGATCAGGTTTGAGAAGGAAGGCCTATTGGCCATGGACATTAAGTTGACCTGTTCCTTGTAGGCTACCTGGTCCATTGCGCAAGCGTCAAATTATTGTATTCATTTCATTCACTATGTCCTATGGATATGGTGTTTCCTGGTTTTGTTTGATTGTTTCTTTTGAAAGTGCCAAATAAATAATAATAATAATAATAATGATTGAATCGTATGGAAGGCGATCACGTCTTCTCTTCTACATGAGAGATGAATGGAAACTAATATGGTGTTGTAGATACATGAATCCCACATACACATGATACATATACATGTACAGGGCCATCATGTCATTGATAGAATATTATCACTAAAGATAGACATGCATGCTAGATCGACTAGATAGATGAATGTTTAAATGAGGACACAATTTCACATGCATGACATTGACAAGAATCACTGTTTTAAACCCTGATTCTGTTGGTTATGATGCATCATTAATGGATAATGATCTATAACCCCGTAATAAAGCTTAACCAATATAAGAAATCTGAAATTGTCAACCAATATGATCAGATGATCATGGCAAAAAGTATAAACAACAACAATTATGTGGGTTTATTAATTTGATTACGGTAGACAGAAGTACATGTAACCATCTGGTAGTGGTATGGGAAATTGTAGATAAGCCTTTGCCAAATTGTCATTCCATTTCATTATTCCGATAGAGCGTACATGTACCTGTATCTCCATGAGGTGTATTTAAACCTGATAATTTTATTTTACTGTCACAATGAACATAAGTTAAAGGCAAAGTTCAAAAATCAATACCTAGTTTCTCATTTGGATTTTTTAAAAATCTAGCACAGTAGGAGGAGGGGGTTGTTATTTGAGATCTCAAATTGTTTCTGGTCATAGAAATGCTGTTGGGTCAATTTCAACACAAACTTTGTTACCGGTAATTCAATTTTATTTTACATCCAATACGGAGGCTTAAAACAAGGTAAAATTTGCAGAAAGATCATTTTTGTCAACTTCATTGTCTATGTCTAGATGTCAGAAGATTTTTATTTATTTGATTTCAATACGAAAATGGCAATAACAAACATATCGAGGAGTGCGGAATAAGAATGGAGGATGGGACGAGAAACCAGGAATATTACTATTTTGCCTTATCTTGTCAATAACGTTCAACTTTTCTTTTCTGCAGGAGCAAGTCGAGACTATCACAGCACGTTGCACCGGCCAGCAGCTTTACTGCCGTAAATGAGCCGATCCTAGACTATGCGCCTGGCAGCTCTGAAAGGAAAGCAGTCGAAGAAGTGAGTTTAGAAGTTTCACAAAGATCAGTTGAACTTATCTCTAAGTTGGACTTAACAATTATGGAAAGCCATTAGCATTTCTGAAATGTTTTGTAAAAGTTATTTTAAGAGGCATAAAATGTTGATTCAAATCATTCATATTTTCTATTATCAAGGAGATTTCATGTTCTTGATGTGGAAATTATGAAAAGTCTAAAATACTTCAATTTTTGCATTTGGAAATATTTAATTTTAAGGCTACAAATGGCTCTGCATAATTTTTAAGTCCAACTTAGAGTTAAGTTCAACTTAGGATCTTTGTTGCACACCCCCTGACATTGCACACCATGGAAATCATGCTGGAATTACTATTCCTTGCTCTATCAAAGTAATATGTGTGAATTTGGTGATCAGATTATAGGAAAGGCTTCAAAGTTTCAAAACTGTAGCATCTACCGGTATTGTTTATTTTCGTTAGCAGCAACAGTACTAAAGTTACATTTACAGTCTACTGCATCTGCCCCACACTTTATCTTCATCAACGATTTATTCAATTTTACAGATACTCTGTGAATTAGATACAATATGGTGAGATACAATATATTTTTCCTGTTGATTGTATTAAAGTTACGGAGCCCTGGCCATTTAACTCTTTTTTTTTTTATAAAAGTTTCTTTATTTAACATAGTGTCTTTCCAGGCAAAAGTAACAGATCAAATCACTTTGCAGGACAAACATATTCCAGTTCTCTTATTTTGACTCATTAACTTTAAGGATAGTCAATAGATAGATTTAGGACAGAGATTACTAAAGAATGGGTTTTTGCTGTATTTATTCCCAATATAGGGATCAGCCACAGGATTGACATAGAAAGAAAGAAAGAAATGCCAACAATTTGTACAATATCACACTGTGATGTGCTGTGCATGACTGTATCTATATGCAATTTATGACACCAACATGTAGTACATTTTATTTTGAAAAGAATATCATTGAGAATTTGAGATACAATGCTTTGTACATTGTATATTTTTTCTGTTGTAATTCCAGAGTTTAATTATTTTGTCAGCTGATCCGTAATGAGTTTACCACGTCAAGTGAAGGAACTGGAACTGAGTAAATTCCGCTCCAGGCACCCAGGGTTTGAATATAAACGATAGTTAGTTTAAAGGGATTGGGTAACTTTGTCTCAGATTCTGAAACAATATCCTGGATTTAGCTCATGCTGCAATGACTTTAGTTTAGGTCAGTCAGGAACCCCATGACTTTTACAAGCTGATCGCCTGTCTGATTATCAAGATATTTATGATTGGAAATCAAAATTTCATTTTTCATTTTCCTAATGGTTTTTTATAACACTACAGTCTATTGGGGAAAATGAGTATGGTAAAACCAGTCACTCAAAGATCTTTCCTTTTTTGAAGCACTTCATGATCATTTTGAAGCCCAATTTTTGTTAGGGCTTCAATATTACACCGTATCACGGACACTATACCACATACATGTACACTGTAGGGCCATGCATTATCAGATTTAACATTGTTAAACGATGCTTTTGATATGATGGCCTTAGTCTGCCAGGAAGGGGTAGCAGGAGAATTCATACGGTATCTGATGCTCCTATAAGCTGTTTATAAAGGTGGATTATAAAACCTGGTTTAACATACCGGTAGTCCACTGCTTATATTATAATTATAATTAATATTCTTTAAGAATTACTGCAATTTTGTAATAAATGAAGCGACACAATCAGTTATGCGAATCAAAATGAAATAATAACATAATGATGACATAATGACCTGATTTTTGTTTGTTAATTTTAAAAAATTGAATCACAGAATTGTGAATTTTTACTGGATGAAAATGAAAAGGTCTAGAATTGAAATCAATCAAAAAAGGTCCTCAAACAAAACACACTAGCCATGTATTCTATGCTTTCTGTTAAGTGAAATTTTACTGAAACTGTGCTTGCTAAAAATATGATTTAAATGTGCAATGAATGTAGAGGTGTTGTGGTCGAGTGGACACATCGCCGGACTGTCGTTCACAAGGTCCGCGGTTCGAGTCCCGCCGCCGCACTAATGTCCTTTGGCAAGACATTGATCTACATTTGCCACACTCCACCCAGGTGAAGTAAATGGGTACCTGGTAGGAATTTATTCCTTGAAACGCAGCGCGCGTAACAGCTGCACTGCTAAAGCCAGGGTAATCATGCTGCATTATTGTAGAGCGCTTAGAGACTGTCTTCTGATAAAGTAAGTGTTAGGCGCTATGTAAGCAAGGATAATTATTATTATTATATAGGAATCAAAATCATAAAAGTTCCCAGTCAAGAAGAGATTGTATGAAGGGGTGACCAAAGTTCACGGACATTTTAGAACATATTACAAAATGTGATATTTGATCTATGATTTCTCATATTATACACATATTTATTTTTTTCAATTATTACCTAATAGACGGCAAAGTTTTTTACTACAAATTTGTTCAAATAGAAAATGCATCGTCGAAGGATGTCGGAGATATCGCGATCTATAAATTTGATGTCCGATCGTGTGTGCGCGCTGCATAAAAAAAAGTCATAAAAACAACGAGGCCTAAGTTCACGCACGGGGGTTTACAGTTGATTTATCAAAAAAAGCGATCCATCAAAAATAAGGTAATATCATAATTTGCAAGACAAGATATCATACAATCAGTTGGTACCACTTTTAACTTACAATTTTGAGAAAATCTGCTCTCAAATTGAAGATTTTCAGACCCTTATCGGTAAGTTGATAATTTTTCGGAACGGACGCAAAAGATTGCAAAATTTGCCGATCTTTTGTCAATATTTTCACAATTTCGTACCCAATTCCAAAGAAAATTTCAATTCTAGGTAATTTTATGTTCCTCTTTCCATTGGTGATATCAGATTTTCGAAATCTTACTGATTTTTCGAGATAGCGAACTTAGGTCTAGCGCGAACTTTGGTCACACATCCATAACCCTAGCCAGCAGCCCCCTTCCACCTCCCCCTCTTTCGCTGGAAAGCGATTTTCTTCCAAAAGTACATGAATGTTGGTCATCACTGGCTCAACCCCCACCCTCCCCCACTCTCCCCCACCCTCCCCCACCCTCCCCCACCCTCACCCACCACAACACTAAGGTTGAGATACATGTATACCTTTTGTTAGGATGTCTAATTGATGGTTTTCATCATCTATTTCAGTCTCTGAAGAGGAGATGGGGAACTCAAGAAGACATTCCCTGTGTGATCGGAGGAAAGGAGATCTTTACTGGAAACACAGAAACAGAAGTAGCGGTAAGTCTCCAATTGCATTCTTACGATAAGGCCCCGTAATGAACTCAGGATGTATCATGGACTCTCATATTTTGTTGTCAAGTAGATGATTGTTCTTCTTTACCTGCCATGTCCTGAGACGTTGGGTACCATGGAATGCCACAATTCATTCTCCCCGAGATCAATTCCACTTTCAGAAATCCCACTCCTTAAGCTACTCATCCACGGAATCCTCCTTCTACCCCTTCTGCTTCTCCCCTCAATTCTTCCAGTCAGTGCAAGATTTTCCAAACCATTCCCTGTAGAAGATGGTTACATTTTAATCTTTTCAGAGGTTTTGTACCTTTAGTATTATCCATTGTTTTATTTCATATTCATGTTTTTTTATTTCATGCATGTTATAACCTTTATTCAGCCTGTGGTTGTTCTCCAACATGTCCGTGGACAAAATAAAAAAAAACAAAAAACTACAGTCTACATGTAACAATAAATGTTGCTTGTATTGCCATTATCACTAATATAAAGAAATGCTCTTGTGCTCTTAAAGAACAAAATTATAAGAGACAACAAATAGGTTATTATAGGAAATGAATAAGTTTTTTGTGACATTGTGAGTGTAGGTAGACCACCAAACAGTCAGATTAATTCAAACAGGAAAAGATTTTGACCTTTTTCTATCTACACTGTATAGGACTAGTGTAATAATTAGGAGAGAAAGTAGTTCTGTGTCTAGAATCAGAAGAAAAAAAAACTGGGGGTTTGCAAAAGATTCTTTAACTTGTTCCCTTTCCAACACATTTTGTACCAGGTCAACTGTATCTATCTGCCTCTACTCTGTGTACTTTCACAGGTCATATATTAACTATGTATTGTTGTCTTTTTTTTCTTTTTCCACAGCCTTTTGATCATCAGCACGTGCTTTGCAAAGTACATTATGCTGACAAGGTAAGTCCGTTTTCAGTTTGAACCCTTTTGTGATAAACATTCCACATTTCGTGGTTTGGCTCAATAACTTTTTATTCAAAGACCTAAGTAGTATGACAGATGCATGAGTAATTGACAAAATTTCTGCACACACCGTGGTTTTTTTTGCCCGACGATATTGCTTTTGATGCCAGGAATTAATAAAAAAGTAGAATTAGCTCGAAAATTATTAAATTGGCAACATGTAAACAGATTCAAAATCATTGTTTTTCCGTCCAACTTTTCAACAACATACAAGCCTACAAGACACATTACATTTTATTTTCACAATGTACATTGTAGCACTACAAGAAATATATTATTATTGCCAATTTGAAGAACAATATGTGATCAATTTAATCCTAAAAATAAATCCTGTCCTAAAAGGGTTAGAGATAAAGTCCAGTACTGGTACGAGAACCCATTTTGAGTTTCTAGAGTTCTAAGAACTTTTCAGAGTGTAATTGCTCACTACACCTGTGTACCAGTTATTTTCTCCCCCTTGTTTTGTAGTACTAGTATACACTAGCGTATTTGAAGGAGAGCAAAAAGGCAATTTGCCCCCTCCCCCCTCCCCAATCCCCCTAAAAAACAACCTGCAGCCAAATCTTATGGTTAGCAGGTATTACAAGGAACTATATGGTCAGGTTACACATGGGAATGCACAACACATTCTCAAAAGATTTATCTTTATTCCAACATAAGTCACTATCATCGATATCCCCCACCCCCCCCCCCCCTGCACACACATACTGTAACTCCAACCAGGGCCCCAAAACATGTTTTTTTTTTACTGAACCACGTTCGGGTCACTGTAATCTAGTATGAATCGTCGTTCCTTAATTAGTTGAGGTCTGTGAACGTCACTGCTGGTGCTGGTACACATTGGGTCTAGCTGTCGAGGACTATGATACTGATATTGCATTCCTAGACATGTATACTGTTACCCATCACACACGGTTCACAGTGTCATGTGACTCTCCATATACTCTCCATAAAGTATACAGGGGGTCATGCAAGGCTGGTAACTTCAAGATAAAGTCAACTACCAGTCATGTGATTACATTATGAAAGAAAATTGAAGTAATTAAGCAAGGATTATAAGAACTGATCAAAACGTAAAGAAATTGTAACAAATGATACGTTGTATAAAATATTCATATTTCTGACTTGCACATGAGTATGATACTGGCCCTGATTTTGTAGGTTAAAAATAATAAAATATTTAAAATAAGAAAAACTATGGCTACATGTATAGGCTCGTGAAAGTGAAGGAAATACTGTTATCCACCAGGCTAAGTTTTTAGGACAATAATGTCATTTGATTACCAGACATATATGCGGTGTGTCATGCTAATGGTGACTAAAGTGCATGAGTGATTGAGCTCCCGGCTTATGTGATCAGCTGGGGGGGGGGGGGGGGGGGGGTGTTTCACAAAGATCCTAAGTGGAACTTAACTCTAAGTTTGACGTGAACTTTATGAAGAGCTATTTGTAGCCTTAAAATAAAATATATTCAAAAGCAAAAATGGAAGCATTTTAGACTTTTCATAAATGCCACATCAAGAACATGAAATCTCCCTGATAATAGAAAATATGAATGATTTGAATCAACATTTGATGCCTTTTAAAATAACTTTTACAAAATATTTTCATAGATGCTAACAGCTTTCCATAACTGTTAAAGGGGAAGTCCACCCTGAAATTAAGTTAGTTTTAGTTAGTTATTAAGTTAGTTTTAGAGTAGAAAAATGAGAGAAACAAGTCAGTGAAAGTTTGAGCAAATTCCGATTAAAAATAAGGAAGTTGCTCAGTACTAAAAAAACCTAAAATTTTCATTTTCCCTCAAGAAAAATTTCAACCATACATGCACCCTAAATATAATAATTGCAAATATGTTTCTATACTCCCCCTGCAAGGAACAAATATATATTCCGTCATCAATAACGAAGAAAATATGATTTTATGGAATATTATGCACAAAGCAAATGAAGGAGAGCTCGTATAATAAGTCACAGAGTTGCCAATTTGTATTTGATTGATCACAACTTCAATAATTCATAACTTTCTTATTTTCATTCAGAATTTGCTCAAACTTTCACTCACCTGATTTTCTTATTATTTTGCCTCTATCGAAACAACTTATTTTGGGGGTGGACTTTCCCTTTAAGTCCAACTTAGAAATAAGTTCAACTTCGAATCTTTGTTAAACACCCCCTAGAAATGAGTAATAGAGTATTTTCTGTACGTACCGGTGTGTATGTCTAGGGTTTTAAAAAGCAAATGAAATACCAGTATATTTAATTGTGGCCTGCTGCAATTATATGTTTCAAGTGATCCATATGTATTATGTAACATAGCTTTGCTGCAACATGTATTTCAGCTCAAATGCAGAATGCCTACCAAGCTTCAGTAAAGTGTATTTGGGTTTGGTTCAGGCTTATGGCTAGGATTATAAGGTTAAGGTTAGGATTCAGTTCATAGTTAGGGTCAAGGTTAGGGTTAGGGTCAAGGTGTTGGGCCAGGGTTAGGGCTACTTGTGTGGTGTAGTTACTGCAGTTATTCCTAAATTTGTTTTTGTTTACCTGTACACTGCTATACCAGCATGTATTTGGAAATCAAATTCATACTGCATAACACCAACTTGCAGATCTTAAATGCCACAAGCTTGAGTACTTGAAAATATACTACTCAGTGTATGCCTTTTATGCTGAAATCTATGATGGCAAATAATGATAAAAGTCACATTTGTATAACGCTTATTACTACTTTTCTAAGCCCTTTACATCGTAATTATCATTACCTTAATCATTGGATTAATTGCTTATCCACAGATGATAGTGCACATGCTCTGCTCCTTGGGGAGTATTCCAGCCAGGGGCCAGGCGACACATGCCAATCCAACAAAATTAACGTTAATAACCGCTACGATGCTTGAGTTGGTTGGGGACATTAATCCTGGTATCTCACAAGATATAACCTATAGACTCTTTAATATACCGGTAAGGCCACCTCAAGTTGGAGGTTTACAACCATTAAAAGACCATAGTAGAAGGAATTGTTGTATGCATCTTGAGCACCCCTTAGGCCAAGGTTAGATATGAAAGCATTATAGATGTAGACCTTGTCATTTTCAGATGGTGAACTTGCTGCCTTGAAGATCCCTTGGTGTGGATACGTTCATAATCTAAAGGATAATTTTATCTTTTCCAGATGGTGATTGAGACGGCCATCAAAACGGCGCTGGAGGCCAGAGATGAATGGGATAGGAGACCGCTGCAGGAGAGGGTTGCTATTCTTGTGAAGGCTGCAGATCTGGCTTGTGGTAAATACAGAGCGGAGCTTGCCGCTAGCTGTATGATGGGACAGGTAATTCAAAGTCTTTAAAGGCAGGGTAGTTTTGATTTGATTTGATTTGATTTATTGGTTTCTGCATCTTTTTTTTTCTTTTTTCATCATACATTTTCATGAACATAATATGGTTTGATACAATATTTTAAGTGTATATAATTTTATACGGATAATGAACAAATTTAAACAAATATATTGAATGCATAATTAACGTACATTCGATGCAGGAGGGCTACAGAAATAAGCAAAGTAGCTTGACGTGCCCGCAGCCCTCAACTTAGATATAACAACAATAACAAATACAAATAGAAAAGACTGACTTGCAGAGAAGAAAAGGAAAGGGGAGAGAAGGAGCGTTGGTAATAACACAATAATTCTCGTACATCTGCTGATTAAATGCAGGTTCATTCATAAAATGGCTAAACGATGCTAGGTCATTTTACCGACATCGTTACCATTGCTGTGGATAATTATCTTCAATACACCAGTTTACGGTTAGGGGCACCATTTTAATTGGCTTCGAAAACAAAGCCAATGACCTAGAGTTCATGTATTTATGCGTAAATTAAGATTGCGCCCATGCAAATTTTTATGACATCACTGCCTACGCGCTGCGTTGCGCGCGCCATCATCATTTGCATGGGCGCAATCTTAATTTACGCATAAATACATGACCTCTAGGTCATTGGCTTTGTTTTCAAAGCAAATTAAAAAGGCGCCCATGTCTGCGCATGCGCACTGATGTAACCGTAAACTGGTGTATTGCGCCATCTCTCGGTGAAAGCGTACATGGAGCAATTTCCGGTTTTGTTAATCAGTTGGTGATGCATTGTGGGACATGGGTGTCAACACATCAGGTCATTGTAGACAGCAGATGGCAGTATATGTAAATCTGAAGTAGTGTCATTGGAATACTCTGCCTTTAAAAAAAATAATAGTTTTAAGGAATAATGTTAAATGAATATCTTCATTTGGTAACCCTTGACTGCCGAATTGCTTTGTTCCTTTAGGCTTAGTACAGGAACGTCCTGGTTCCTGCTGCCAGTGGGGTACATTAAACATTTTTTGTTTTATTCTTCATCTTTGTTATTCTCCATGTTACACTATTATTCACCAAATAACTATTTGGGTTTTGTGTGGCTCCAGTGAGACTCTCACTAAGTGGAACAGCTTTGGGAGGGGGGGGGGGGGGAGGGGGGGGGGGCACATGCCAGCCAATCAAGTGGGAAACAAAACAATAGAAGAAAAAGTGGAAAAAGAAATGAGAGAAAGGGAAAAGGAAGAATGATATTAAAGAAACCAAGGCATCTGATTACCTTCCCCACCCTCGCTCCAATCAGTAGCCTTGTAAATCTGTAATTTCATTTTCCCAGCAAGTCTGATGCCCCCTCCAATCATTCCATTTCCTCCTTCATGGGTGGACTTCTGCTACACCACCAGTAACACTTACACGTACGGTAATGCCATTTTCTTCTTCTCCGCTACACAGGCTAAGACCGTCCTCCAAGCTGAGATCGATATTGTCTGCGAGCTGGCCGACTTCTACCGCTTCCACGGACAGTACGCCCTCGACTGGTTGGAAAACTCTCAGCCCATCAGCACGTCTGAGTCGACAAACACCATCCAATGCCGAGGTCTAGAAGGTTTCGTGGCTGCCATTGCACCTTTCAACTTCACAGCCATCGGAGGCAACTTAGCTGGCACTCCTGCAATGATGGTTAGTGAGAACTCCAAGTCCCCATTTCACAAAACTTGTCATCAGTGACAAATGACAGTTTTTGGTATAAGCTACTGAAATCCTTGCTTCTGATTGGTTATCAGCAGATTTGTCACTGATTTTGTCATTGTCATTTGTCATTAAAAAAAGGCTTTGTGAAACAGGTCCCAGTAGTATTTTTCCACGCGATGTGTGGCACATCCTGCCCAAACTTAACGTGTTGGACGATGCTTAATTGGGACTAAGTGTGTCTTTCTCGTTCTTTCCAAAACAGAGAGATGCATCCATATCTTGAGGCTTATTTGCATGGAATAAATGAATCAGTTTCAAATTAGGTAATGAAACAAGATTTAATATTGTCAAAACTCAACACTTGGAAAGCTCATTTTATGACAAATTTTCAAAAAAATGGTGGTAAGGAAGGGATTGAAGGGAATAAGACACCTAAAAAGTATTAGTTTGAGAGAAACTGGGTGAAAAATGATACTGATTATTTTTATAATAGATTGAGATGCGTGGTTTGAAACAGCAATATACAAACAAGCTTATGAAACATGCAGAAAGATACATAGTAATAATGTGGGGCGGGACCGACTTCATTGATTTCTTTATCTTTCTACATGTATACTTGTTGCTTAATAGCCCCCTGTACATTTTCTAACTAAATCGTTTGGCACGTGTCAATTATTTTTACTCTTGAACATCCAGTGTAAATTTGGTTTGAGTCCATGAGAAATTATTGACCATGGTTACCAGAACTCAAGAATATCTTCAACTCTTCGTCTACCCTCAATTTAAATCCTAGTGTGGCATACTGTTTGGAGCATTATGTTCCTTACACAGTGTTTGTGTGACAAAAATCAACTACGGCAGTCAACTGTTTGTTCAATTAGTCGACAGAAGCAGGTAAAGTGTTCATTATTGATTTCTAGGGTAACGCTGTGGTATGGAAACCAAGTCCAAACTCTGTCTACTCGTCCTATGTGGTCTTCAACATCTTAAGAGAAGCAGGAGTCCCGGATGGTGTCATCAACTTTGTACCAGCCGATGGACCTGTGTTTGGAGATACGGTCACCAGCAGTCCTGACCTGGCTTGCGTCGCTTTTACTGGCAGTACTGGGTAAGTCAATGATTACTGATTTCTTACCCAGTACCGTGTAAGTTGATAATAAGAAAAGAGTAGAGTACTTTGTACTATCTGATAGACCTATGTCCAGGGACGCTGTGAATAGTAGCTCTGGGCTGGTTTGCGTTGATTTTAGTGGCAGTACTGGGTAAGTCACAAAATTGAAGTGACGAATCAATTTTATAATAGCATGTTTTGCTTTGTTTTGTTCGTCCAGTTACTGAATTATGGTGATTATTATGAGACGAAGAGGTAGACATCTGGCGCTTTATAAGTCAGCGGAGTAAACTCTACTCTCTATTAAAGTCGGGGTGTAATCCTGGACTTAGTTTTTCTCTTTGATGAATACTGGCCACTATGTTTATTTATTATTTTATCAAGGCTCGGTATGGTGTTTTGTCAAGGAGAGGATCCATTTGTCATATTTATGGTTCCCAGTACTATTTTTAATCATTTTAGAATAAAAATGAAGCAGTTGTATAATTATACATTTTTACTTGCACATATATTACAGTTTTGCTGACCTTTCTTTCATGAAGTAATTCAATCATCAAGAAAGTTGTTTACATGATTGAATATGAAGACTAGAGTTAATTGTAATTAATAATAATAATAATAGGCATTTCTAAAGTGCCATCTATCTAGAAATTCTATTCCGAGGCGCATATATTATTACCCCGGCTTTAGCCTTGCTGCCATTACAGCGCTCCAGCATTTCAAGGAATTAATTCCTGCCAGATGCCCATTTATCTCAACTGGGTCGAGTGTGGCAAATGAAGATTAATGCCTTGCCAAAGGACATTAGTGCCGTGTCGGGGATTTAACCACCACCTTTGAATTTCAAGTCAAGTGCTTACACCACTCGACTACGACAATTCTACTTTTAGAGAATTCATATCTTTCAATTGATACGTGAGAAGAAGTCTCTTCCTTAACTCTTTGTTTGCTTTGTTCGCCGATTTGCACGGACGTAGGCGTGCCAACTTCGCATTTTTGCACAGATGTATACGAGTCAATTAGACATTCATAATACCGCTCGCAGTGTGTAGCCACGCGTTGCGTTTACTATTGTTTACATTGTATACATCGCACACTTTCCGGTAAACTGTTTTTCTTCATAGTGTTACATTCGAAATTACCGTGTATTTAGCGGTTTTCTTTGGATTTTTTTTACTGATGTTACGATGGCACCTGCTGGAAAACGTCAACGTGTGTTTAGTGTAGAGGAGGCTCGAGATCTTGTTACTATGGAAGCATGGAGCATGGACTCTGATTCCGACGAATCGAGCAGTGACGAAGACTCTAGTGATAAAAGTGTTCCCTGAGAGTAGACTGATAGAATAAGAATGAATAAAAATTAATGAAAGAGCTAGAGATGACAGCAAGAAAGAGAGTAGACTGATAGAATAAGAATGAATAAAAAAAATGAAAGAAGGAGATAGAGATGACAGCAAGAAAGAGAGTAGACAGTGATAGAATAAGAATGAATAAAAATAATGAAAGAAAGAGATAGAGATGACAGCAAGAAAGAGAGTAGACTGATAGAATAAGAATGAATAAAAATTAATGAAAGAGCTAGAGATGACAGCAAGAAAGAGAGTAGACAGTGATAGAATAAGAATGAATAAAACTAATGAAAGAAAGATGTATCCTGTCTTGCCGTCATCTTTATATCTTTCTTTTATTATCTTTATTCATTCTTATGCTATCAGTGTTTACTCTCTTTCTTTCCGTCATCTCTATCTTATTATTATTATCATTTTCCTATCTATATGTACCCTATGTCTTGCCGTCATCTGTATATCTTTTTCTTATTATCTTTATTCATTATTATGCTATGAGTGTAATACTCTCTTTCTTGCCGTCATCTCTATCTCATTATTATTATCATTTTCCTATCTATATGTACCCTATGTCTTGCCGTCATCTCTATATCTTTCTCTTATTATCTTTATTCATTCTTATGCTATCAGTGTTTACTCTCTTTCTTTCCGTCATCTCTATCTCATTATTATTATCATTTTCCTATCTATAATTATGTACCCTATGTCTTGCCGTCATCTCTATATCTTTCTCTTATTATCTTTATTCATTCTTATGCTATCAGTGTTTACTCTCTTTCTTGCCGTCATCTCTATCTTATTATTATTATCATTTTCCTATCTATATGTACCCTATGTCTTGCCGTCATCTGTATATCTTTCTCTTATTATCTTTATTCATTCTTATGCTATCAGTGTTTACTCTCTTTCTTGCCGTCATCTCTATCTTATTATTATTATTATTTTCCTATCAATATGTATCCTATGTCTTGCCGTCATCTCTATATATTTCTCTTATTATCTTTATTCATTCTTGTGCTATCAGTGTTTACTCTCTTTCTTTCCGTCATCTCTATCTTTTTATTATTATCATTTTCCTATCTATATGTACCCTATGTCTTGCCGTCATCTCTATATCTTTCTCTTATTATCTTTATTCATTCTTATGCTATCAGTGTTTACTCTCTTTCTTTCCGTCATCTCTATCTTATTATTATTATCATTTTCCTATCTATATGTACCCTATGTCTTGCCGTCATCTCTATATCTTTCTCTTATTATCTTTATTCATTCTTATGCTATCAGTGTTTACTCTCTTTCTTTCCGTCATCTCTATCTCATTATTATTGTTATTTTCGTATCAATATGTATCCTGTCTTGCCGTCATCTTTATCTCTTTCTCTTATAATCTTTATTCACAGTAAAGTCCTTTCATTTCATATCACTATTTCTCTCTCATAATGTCTCTCACGTCCGTTCTCCATATTTTATTCATTGCATACTCCACTCGTCAATCATTTCTGATAATAAGCTCTCTCACAATAAAGTAAATGGAAAACAATGCAATATAGTTTATATTTTAAGATTGATTCATTCTTTCTTTGTATATCTATGGCTGTGATAAATGTACTTGAAATCAATTTTATTGAGGGGTAAAGAAGGTGAGAGAACAGATGCGGTGAACATTCATAATGAGACATTTCAATAAGATGCTGATTATGTCATGTATATCACATATAATATATTATGCCTATACCATTTTTACATGCTCATACCAGTGGGCAAAATCAATAACATTCTCTTATTTCTTATTGACTTATCATGGCACAACAAAGAAAAACATCCCCACGACGTCCCTTTTCATGCCCCGCTAAACCGGACATTGACAATAACCTGGGGTAATAGGGATTTCAATGGGCAGATTAGCCCATTGTCAAGGGTGGCTGAGCGGGGTACTTTCAAGTCTCTCCCTATTGAACTTCTTTTCTTCAACAACCTAAATACTAACCTTCTGAATTGTTAGAATACTTGAGCAAGGTATGTAAAGAAAGGTAAGAAGTCCACCTTTCTAATAGATTCGATTTGAAGATGTCTTATCATTGCTAAATAAGAAATTCTAGAGGGATAAAAAACTGCCGTAAATAAGAAAAATTAAACATTATATAATTATGATTATTATAAAAATGATAATTCAAAATATAACAAATGACGGTTCATCGAAAAGCACGTTTTCCGGTCTACAACTTTGCTGCACAATATTTTTCATCATGATCATCCAGTGAAGAGTTATAGCCTCTTGATTCAGCAGAGTCAATAAAGATTCCCTCGAAATGTGTGACCCTAAAAGAATGTGGCACAGGGGGGTTTTTTAAGTGGCGCATAAAGAGTTAAATTGTTGTTTCCCTATTTGTGCTCTCATTAGAGACATTTAATATATCTTTCTCCTCTTTTTAGAACATTTAAGAGGTTATGGCAGCAGGTCGGTGACAATCTGAACATCTACAAGACCTTCCCAAAGATTACTGGAGGTAAGATGGTTAGATCCTGCCTGATGTTTCTTCTTTATCAAAGTGCTTGTATTGTCTTTCATTGATATTTCCTTTATACATCATACCTGAGTCACACTGCCAGACCAACTCCACACCGACTCCAAACTGACCGCTTCTTGACCATTGGAGTTAATATCATTGTTTGATCAGTCTGTTATCGGTCTCGTTGGTGTGTCTGTGGCAGAGATACCAACTAGTACAATTTTGTTGTATTTAGTACGATAATAAGAGTGAAATACAATAATATGATATCGCCTCTTGAAATACAATTTTTCATCTTTAAAAAAACAACAACAAACAAAGAAACATAACAACTGCGGAATCGCATAGAAACATGAATAAGTAAACCCTGCAACCCTGACAAAAACTTTGCTTTACAATTTTCTCATTAAATGTTTAATGGAAGAGCAAACAGTTTACTTGACCGTTCTTACCAGAAACGGAGATCGATAATATTTTCTGTGAATTCACCATGATGTATAGGGGGGACTAATCTCTAATATGTGGATGTAAATATATTTTGCTCTGTATTTTAGAGGTTTCATGCTGCTGTACGCTTCTGCCGTTACCTCCATACATTTTTTTTTGCAAGATCAAAAACACTTAAATGAATGTAAAAGTGCCCTCTAAACACTTGCATAGATGAAGGCGCAAACAGAACCCAAAACCGAACTGGTTTTTGTGATCTTGGTATTTTGTCATTCTTTATTTGTTGTTGTTGATCCTACTTCACTGGAAACCTAAAGAATACCGGTAAAGGATTTAGGGTTTATTTTATGTGTATCATCCTTTAGCTGTTACAGGTGCCCTGTAAGATACCTGTTTTATGTCTTCTCCCATCAGAATGTGGTGGCAAAAACTTCCATCTTGTCCACCCAACGGCCGACTTGGAGTCTGCCGTCGTAGGAACGCTGCGCTCTGCCTACGAGTTCGGAGGTCAGAAATGCTCTGCTTGCTCCAGAGTCTATGTCCCACAGAGTATGTGGCCTACATTCAAGGAAGGGTTGATCGAGAAGCAGAAACAAATCAAACTGGGATCAGTAAGTTGAAATTAAAAGCATATAAGGCCTACAAAAAAAGATGTTGTATTGCCCTTTGCGACTGACCCAAAAATCTTGAAATCTACGGTCGGCTTTTTAAAAAAGTTTTTTTTATTTTATTGTTTTTTAGAGAGAAAAAATATTGAAAGCATTCAAAACTGAGAAAATCAGCCCAAAGAGGGAGAAAGAAAGAAAAAAAGTTATAAAAAAAAAAAGATTTCTGACCGACCGACCCATGTATTGGCACCTAAAGTAAAGGGCAATACAACATCTGTTTTTTTAAAGGCCTAATTGTGGATACTTGTGAGGAATTTACACCGCTTGGGATATACCAGCTGTTATGTAGATCGCTGACAGTGCATTTCACTTTTACCACAGACACACCTAACAAATTGCGGTTACCACCCAAATACTTCAAAATGTCTGCCCTTGGGTGGGTAGTACATGTATATGTAAATGTTCATTCCAAGATGACCCGAATACTCTCCGATGATTGGGTTGATGTCCTGGGACTTGTTTTCTCATCTTTTTGCTGCACGTGAGATTTGTCCAAAGAAATAAAATGTTATATTGTCGCCTGAATTTTCTCCTGTTTTATTATTTGAACCCTTTATTGTCACTTTGGAAATTGGAGCTGTGTTTTATTAAATTATGTCTAATTTTGATTATGTAATTTTGTTTTGTAGCCACTGGACTTTACCTCATTCGTCTCCGCTGTAATTAACGAACCGGTAAGCGCAAGTTTTATTTTGCTTCCCAGAAATATTATTGAAAATCGTATATAACTTGTAAACAGATATACTTTGTTCATCTAGTTGTAACAGACACAAGTTAACTTCTTTTATAGAAAAAAAGCATAAAAACAGAAATTTAAGTTACAGACAATCTCCATTTTCTCCATTTTTACAGCAAGAAATTTGCTCACATTACGAAACTTTCAGTGTTGTCTAGGAGAAATCCCATCTGCAGTGGATATGTTGAAGGTATCCGACCTCGAGCGATAAGTCTTTTACTTTAATGTGTGTTCAACGTACCAGGTAGAATTAACTTAATTCACCTACAGTAATTATGATTAGACCAGGGCAGTGTTTCCCAAATATTAAGATCGACTTTAAAGGTAATACAAAGTTTTTGTTCAAATGAGTATATTGAAGGCATATGCGATCCTACAATATTCAGTGATCGTTGTCGCGGATGAAATCGAGTCTTAAGTTATGAAATTGTAAATAATAAACTCTTTATGTTGAATAGCTCCCTCACAAGGTCAAGATATTAATGAAGCTATCAAACAATGTTTCTTGACTAAAATCAACCGATTAGCTATTCCCGTTTGGAAATTATCTATCACAACTACATATTCTGAGATTTTCATGGTCGTAGCTACCATTGTACAGCCATAGGCGCTATTTGAAATTTATCAAAATTTACCGGAAGCACCGGTAAATTGTTATATTCAATTTTTCTCGAAAGCAGAAGTATTTTAGGGGCTAAATTTTCTAGTGCCTTTAAAACATCCACAGGGGCATCAAAATATATCAAAATTGTAAAGAATCACTATCCACCTAATTTTGAAAATTTCCCAAAACTTTGTATTACCTTTAAGTTGAACTTAACTATAGCAGGCCATTTATGTCACTATTTTCTTTCATCATTTACTGGCATTGGTCTTTCAAGAGACGTACCAACCGAGTTCACAAATCTACAAAATTTACATTTGTTGATAGTGATCATTATTGAAGGAAAAAATATTATCTAAAGATCATAATTGAGAGACCAATGATAAGAGCAACCAGTGACTTTACTTCTTATATTGCAGGCATTCAACAAAGTGAAAAGCTATGTGGATTATGCCAAAGGCTCACCTAATGTCACGATTCTTGCTGGTGGAACTTGTGATGACAGGTGAGTCAGAAAAGGAGACCCAAGTGAGCTTCAAAAGTAGACCAAAGTGTCAGGACCGGGCTTCTTATTTTTATTCGGGTGATACAGTCAAACCTGCTTTAGTGACCTCCTGTTTGCCAAGACCACATTTTTGATTTCCTTTGAAAATGGTTTCTCATTGAATCATGTACTAAAGGAACCTGTCTACAAAGACCACCTGTCTACAAAGGCCACTTTTTGTGTTTCCCTTGGGTGGTCGCTATAGACAGGTTTGACTGTATTAGGGTGATACTGTCAAACTTGTTTTAGACCATGTTTTTGGGTTTTCTTTGAAATTGGATTCTCATTGAAACATGTACTAAAGGAACCTGCCTGCAATAGGCAGGTTTTACTGTATACCTGGTATGGACTGTTATTAAGCATTAATAAGTACTGGTATTGATAAGTATTCAGTGTATCATGTACCTTGCAGTGGAATCCCTGTAACCCTCGGGTCTCTCCTTCCGGTATTACTAATGAGAATGTACAGGTATACCACGACATTGGGGATTCCCCTTTTCATTTATGATGAAAGAGTGCAGTGGGTTTCTTAATAAGCAAGAGACACAGGTGGTGACTCTTCTCCACATAAGGCCAACGGGTGGTATTCCTAAAAGTGGACTAACTTTAGTCCATGGTTTAATCCACCGACTAAGTATGGAAGGCCAAGTGTTCATAAGAATATGTTTTTGAATAATTTAATCTCTCACTAAATTAAAATAAATGTAATCATATAATTAATAAACAACTATAACTATGATATAATTATGTTATCATGGTAATTTAGGGACATATCAAATTATTAAAAAGTTTATTCATATGGACACTTGGCATTCTGTACTTAGTCCGTGGATTAAACTATGGACTAAATTAGTCTACTTTCGAGAAGATCACCCAATACCTCGATTTAACTCCCTATCTGAGGGGTGGTGTGGATTCCACTGTTTGCCACAATCGTATGATCAATTGCTAAGCTTTGTGTTACATGGACCTGGGGAGTGTTTCACAAAACCTTTTTTTAATGACAAATGACAAAAATTAGTGACAAATCTGCTGATAAAGATTAACCAATGTGAAATGGGGCCCTGAGGATTGTATTCAGTTTATGGGCCTAATACAGCTATGTTCATAACTCTGTAATACTTTGTAATTTATTGGACACGGAGTGAAAAAGTTGGACTTTCCCTTTCATTCTTCACAGAGTGGGTTACTACGTTGAGCCGACCCTAGTAAAGGTTTCAGTTTATATGCCTACTACAAATACGTTTATAACTCTGTAATACCTTGTAATTTATTGGACACCAAGTGAAAAAGTTGGACTTTCCCTTTCATTCTTCACAGTGGGTTACTACGTAGAGCCGTCCCTGGTGGAGGTTTCAGATTATAGGCCTACTACAATATGTTCATAACTCTGAAATACCTTGTAGTTTATTGGACCCAAGTAAAAAAAATTGGACTTTTCCTTTCATTCTACACAGAGTGGGTTACTACGTGGAGCCGGCCCTAGTAAAGGTTTCAGGTTATAGGCCTACTACAAATATGTTCATAACTCTGTAATACTTTGTAATTTATTGGACACCAAATGAAATAGTTGGACTTTCCCTTTCGATCATTCTTCACAGAGTGGGTTACTACGTGGAGCCGACCCTGGTAGAAGTTTCTGATCCGGCCGATCGCATGATGAGAGAGGAGATCTTTGGACCCGTAGTCGCTGCTTATGTTTATCCAGACGAAAAGTATGAAGACATCGTGAAATTCATCGACTCCACGTCACATTATTCCTTGACTGGTGCCCTCTTTGCCGGAGACAGGTCAGTCTTGATTTTGTTGTTGTCGCTGAAACTATGGACAGAATTTTCTACAGGTTATATTAATCACACATCTGACATGTGACCTCATATCAACAAACAAACTATCAAAACAATAACAAAAATGTTCAGAAAATTAGACAAACCTTGCAATGCTCAAGTTGTGTTGATTAACTCTCCAATGCATCAACAGGACATGCACATTGGTTTCCTTATCATCTGTTTGGAGCGAGGAGGGTGTTTACTGATATACTTTAACACAGATTTAATGCCCTTCTGAATCTGAACAGACGATATTAATGTTCATAAACTTTTAGATTTGTTCCAATAATTGTCCTCCTTATTTCACATAGTGTCAACTACTGTTCATTTATTGTACTTATTATGTGGGGGGGGGGGGGGGGGGGTTGAATCAGTTGATTGTGAGGACTTTACCGCCATAATAGAAAGTAAAAACTCAGCATGTTATTTCTTTAGTTCCAACTCCCTCTTTAATGAAGTAGCGAAATTTATGAATTTCATTAATTTGTATATATATATATATATATATATATATATATGTGTACACTAATTTATTTAGAAAATTCATTAATATGTCTTAATACGACTTATGTCTGTATAAATATTTATGTTTTTACATTGTACAAAATTCTGCAATTCAGCCATTTGGCTGCAATTGAATTTTTAATAAAACCTTTACCATTACCATTACCAAGTATTATTGATGCTTTTCCTTTCATGAACTATCATCATCTCAAACCTAGGTTACATAGCAAAACAATTAAGGAATACCATGTACATGTATTTTACAGGCTTTTTCAGAAAAAGAGAGTAATCTATGGTTTGTAACATCATTTGAAGACCAAAAAGTAGGAATCATTCCTTCAAATAAAAATGGTTGGCAGCTTTGTGGACCTACCCTCTTTATCTCCATCATCATTGCTCTATTCACTGATGTAATACTGTTGTGGTCTTTCTTCCTTTAACAGCAAAGTGATTGAGGACACATGCTCCACCCTTCGTGATACCGCTGGTAACTTCTACGTCAATGATAAGAGCACCGGGTCGGTCGTGGGTCAGCAGCCATTTGGAGGTGCAAGAAATTCAGGTAAAGTTTGCTATTTGTTTTTGGAATTCCTTGCAGGTATCATATCTTCAACATATTTCCTGTAAATATTACTTCACTGTAAAGATATTGCAAGTTTATCTTTGTGATGGTAAAATTGACTAGTGTGAAAATTTGGCATGCAGTCCAATGAACTTTTACGGCTGCTGTGATACATGCATTTACAATTTTTTCTCCCTTTTTGCTTCATGTTTACAATTTAAATGTCATTTTTATTTAAGTCTAATGATAGTAAAATATATGCATTATAATGTTGGGGGGGGGGGGGGGGGTGATTTGTCCCCTTTAACCATTTAAGGTGTAAACAATTTTATACAATTTTTTTTACATGGATCACAAATGTTGATAATAAGTTTCTAATGACGGGCAAATAATAGAAAAATAAGATAAAACCATATTTAGGAAAAAAAACGTCATGTCCATGAAATATATACCGTAAATGAATGAATAATCTCACATACGCAGAACATGACTGTTATTTTACACAAATTTTTATCAGACCTATGTAAAAATGTGGATTTCTTAAAATGTAATGATTTAAAAAATTTATTCTGAAGTGTAGAATGTACATATATGAACACGCAGATATTCTTGTTGATTCTGTTTTCGGTATCCCTTCTATTTCAGGTACAAACGACAAGCCAGGTAGCTCCCTCTATCCTCTCCGCTTTGTGTCGCCGCTTACCGTCAAAACCACCCACGCTCCTCTACGAGGATGGCGTTACGCTCACATGAATGAATAAATCAGACAAATTGGACTTTAATATCTCTTTCTGCATTTGTATTTCAATGTCATATCATGTATGGAGAGCCAAAAAAGCATCACTTTGTGTTGAAGTAAATGAGTCTGGCTTTAAATGGACGATGCCATCGACTGAAATGTGCATGCTGTTGCAAGCTGTGAGATGCCCAAACATCCATGAAAGTTTTTGTTGTGCAAATCATACATGCAGGGATGCCAATTTTCAGGCAAAAGCCCTAACTCAGGCCCTAGCAATTTATTTTCATGCCATACATGTAGTTCAGGTCTTTTTGTGTACAAAATAGCTCATTCTAGGTGATTTTCAGGCCCTCTGATCAATTCTAACTGGCATCCCTGTATATGACATATTGTAATGTTGTCTTCATGCAGACTTATCTTGATGAAAAGACATGAGATATATATATATATATATATATATCCCATTTACCGCATCATGTATTTCTAATCATACAGATCTATGTGGGTCTTTGTAATGTAAAATGTTATGTCGGTATCCAAAGATATGTGATGCAATAATAGTGTCATCTTCCCTTTCTATGTTTCTATGTCAATTGAGTCAAAAATTGATTAAGGTGGCATACTAAATGCTGCGTGGTCGTGTAGTCCACTGATTTAAGAGCTGCTAAGTGTGAAGCTGTTTATTCCGTATAAAATCCTGTAATTTGTATTGAGGAATGGACAAATCAAATGATTACCGTCATGGAATAAAAATGGTAAATTAACTTGATGCTGCCATGATTTTAATTGTTTATGTAGTTACAGAAGTATAGTAATTGTTGTGGGATGAGGAGAGTGATTATTTGTGCTCCTTAAATCACTGATGTTGGCAGGAAATGATAACCACAAGAATGAATGAACAATAGAATATTAACTTGTGATATGATGTTGGCCTTTGTGATCTGTACTCTGAGAGTACAGAATACCCTATGGTGTAAAGATATTTTCATATTTCTAAATTCTAAACAGAGAATATTGGAATGCTAGAATGATTTTTTGGCCAGTCTATACTATGTTCAGGATTATCTATGGTTAATATGAGAAAAGAGCCATCACATGACATTAAATTATCTCATATTCTTCTACGACTTGGCAACACTATCTGAACCCTACGGACAGCATATTTAATTTTTAACCCCAAAATGATACTTTTTATTCAATATTTGACATGATTTATATATGTTTAGAATAGACGCCTGTGGGAAGTTTCATAATCATGTTGTACATGTCATGCAATCATGTATTTTAAACAGTCCAATACTATAATTTTTACTCACAGAAATAAACATTTCAAATGAGATCTTCTATCATGGTAAGGCTGTTTTTTAAAGAGAAATGTAAACAGAAAGTAAAGACTTATTTTTCTTTCCACTTTTTAATTTATACTATTTTAACATTTATATCAAGATGTTTGTGATATGATTTGTGACAATTATATTTATGAAATGCAAACATGATCCTAAGTGATTCTTAATTTTACTGTATTTTGGCAATGTTTTGAGTGAGAATGCTTTATTTCTTGGGCATCCTTAAAATCCTAACAATTCTTAATGGGTTCATTACTAAAAATTGATTGGGATTATCAATCATTTTTGGAAATCTTACACACAATTCACTTCAATTATTCTTTTTATTCATCATTGTATGAAAACTACATGAAGTGGTAAAGTCTTACAAATATTAATAGAGACAAATATGGAATGATATCCGTTTTTCGTCTGACTTCTTTCTCGGCTACACAAAATGCTGCCTTCACGCCTCATAAACTAAATCAGATCTGTTTATTTTTTTGTGGGCAATACAATTTCCATGTGATTGACCTTTACCCATTACCTACTGGAAGCGGGTGGTCTCTGTATCAAGCCTATGGGAATAAGAGAACTCGGTACTCAATGAGTTAAAAAATAGAAATAGTTGGTGAAGTCAGTAAGCCTTTGGGTAATATATAGTGACTTGATATCATGACTTAAAATGCTACTACCAATATTTTGCTGAACATGAAATAATTAAATAATATACTTGATTGATGGTAATACTTGTATGTATGTGGCATCGTTATGTGTGAAATATATTTTGTCTATTAATACATAAAGATATTGCAAATTTAAGTATTATCAAGTTTGTTTTGTTTTGTGTGAAGCATTTATGAAGCCACATCAGGCATTTTCTAGTTCAGTAGTAGTGCTTTCGTGGGATGAATTTTGTTTACAGATGTCAAATACAATTTGTTTTTTGTTTTTTGGTGGGGGGGGGGGGGGGGGGTTAAATAATTCTTCCTTAATGCTTTAAAAGCAGATAGACAATGCGATATGCAACCTGCTGCCTCCCCCAAACAAAAGAAAACAACTGAAAGGTTCATCGTAATCTTTAAATTTCTGCTTTCTCAAAGCTATCTAATTACTCTTTGCAAAATAGTTTTACTAGCTCTTTATATTATTGTGCAACTCATTTTCTGCTGTCACAGTGATGAATTTGTAATATGACCATTTGTGAGGATCAGCATGCAATGCTACAAACTAACTTAATGATGGCTGTTGAAGGTACTATTAAACTTTTGAAAGTATATTTTGAAACACTGGCTTAAAAAGTGATATAAAGCAAAGATATGAATGGTGCAGGCTTAGATTAGTTAGTGAAGATCAAGGTGGATGAAATTGGTCTTTTAGTTTTGTTCATACATCTACATTTATCTACCTTTTCAAAATGATATCTACTTGTGTGTCTAAATCAGCTAGGTGTCTGATTTAGTCTTATAAATATTATATTTGCAAGATATTGCATCATACATCTGATGTCGGAGTGTTCTTTCAAGAAGCAATATTTTCATAGCTTTAATAATTGAAGTAAAGTATCTTTTGTCATGTGAGTACCTACTGTGTAAATACCTGTGTATTCTGTTCATCAAATAAATCTAGCAGAATCTGGTGATGCCTATGCAATGGTACATAAAGGTAGTGATGAGCACAAATATTTTCCCCAGAGAGAGAGAGAGAGCTAGAGAGAGCAAGAGAGGGGAGTGGGGAGTGGGGGTGGGGAGGGGAGGAAGAAGTGATATATATATATATATATATAATATATAAAAGTTTTATTAGTAAAATTGAGAAGAGGATTCCTAATTCCCCTCTGTTATTTCCACTCAATCTCAAATTATTTTACGCTTACACCTGTTAGTCAATAGATGGCAGCAGATCAGATTACGAAAAACAGAATCGGGCCCTCCCAAGCGTAAAGAATTCCGAGTAAGTTACGCTGATTTTGCGATGGTTTGTAATTTTCTTTAGATCCTGACTATCCAGAGGCCTTAGAACAGTTGTGAGCAGTGTCCTGTGTAAGTTTTATTTTCAAATTTTGTGGCATACATGTGCAATTTCCATGACGGAATGAATGAATTTTAATGAGCTTAAATCTTCATGTAGTCCGACGTGTTACAATGTGCGTATGGTTTACCAGGGGTTATGTTATGGTCTTGCGAGATTGTGTGGTAAGAAGAAATCAGTGAGTCATGACGATATGTTGCAACACACCTACTCGTGTACCCGGGCGCGCAGGGTATTTTGTCATTACATGTTTTCATTTGTGTTACCAGAGGTGATTGAGGGTAATCATTTTGGTATTCTTTTTTTTTTTTTTATAAATTAACATTTTCCATCTGAAATTGAATCTTGGCATTTTTGTTGTTTGATGTTTCATTACAATTACTCATTGTACTACTACTACTAGATCTAATCATTTTGTTTGTTTATGCAAGCTCTTTATTGTCTATCTTTGTCTTGTAAATGAGCAATTTTTTTACAGCAATGTTTATGTATTGTATTGCTTTTTACCATAGTTTTTTTTGGGAGAGATTTCAAGCTATTATTGCTCACCACTACAATTTATTCTATTTCACAGATTCACAGTTGGTTATCAGATTAAAAAGACACAATGAATAAGGATCAGCTTTCCACCTCTGTAAACTCCTTGCTGGAGTTGGACAACATCTCAGTGAATCCCAGCTACTCGGCATCAGAAGAGGAGAGCGAAAGGGTGGGGATGGAAGAACTAGACACAGAGATGGACGGTGAAGGAAAGAAGAAAAAGAAACAGGTGGTAAGGATGGAATAAAATAGGAAGTAAGACTTAAACATCAACTTCAAGGGAGATCAGAATAATTAGATAAATAGATTGATGAAGTTTTAAAATTTAAAATTAAATAATATGAAATTGGATTGATGGAAGTTTAAAAATTGGAATTAATAATATGAAATCGTACTTGATTTACCTTGATGTTGGGCTTTAAGTATAATTACTTATATGCCCCTCTGCAGCAGGATTAATGTATGTGTGTACCGGGGATTGCGCCTATGTCGGAGCCTCGGACAATGCGATTGCAAGGAAACATTTCTTTAGGGTTGAACATGTCATATTTAGCTCTCCGTACTTCTGATGTAAATCATATGTTCACATTTCCATAGTACTTGATAATTCTTGGTAAAGTCTCTAAATGAACAAATACCTTGGAATTGCCCCAAAATGTGGTATAATGTGATCACGACTCACTTAATCATTTGTTGAGGAATTCATAGCTGTTTTGCAAGCTGCTGTGAAGAAGAAAAAAATCTCCAAAAGCATGTCAGAAATTGAATGATTTCAGGCAGGTTGTTATTTCCTTTCAAACTATAATAGACAAAATGTTATAGCTTTTATTTTAGTGCCCTATCTATTTTTGTTTGTCTGGTTTGATGTGTAGAAAAAAAGACGGAAAAAGAAAGAAAATCTGGAGAATGAAGACAGTTGTGCAGAATTTGAAGTGAGAGCTCAGACTGAGTCCGGGGACCCTTCAAACGATTCGGGGTTAGCTGTCCAGAAAGGTTTGAAGGGCAGAGACCCATCCCCAGCCAAGAGCGGCCGGTGAGTAGGACCTGTTTTGTAAGAAGATTTATCTGTTTTGCTCAAGAATTGTAAAAAAAAAAAAATTAGTGTCATTTAATGGCATAAAATGTTTGCAAATCGGGCCAAATTGCAAATTTGTGCAGTTTCATGCATAGGAAAGTTTCTTGTTTACGTTAGTCTTGTCTTTGTTTATTCAATGATGCATGTGAAGGTAACAAGCCAGATTACCTCACTCAAGTATTACAGGGTTCAAACAAAACAATAACATTACCTCTCATATTGTAGATTATGTCCCTCATCGTTGAGTATCACTCTGGGAAGTCTCAAAAGCACTTTTTTTAAACCAAGCTACTGCTGCTGGGAGAGCAACAGAGACATTGTGAGGGAATATTGTTTTTTGTAGATCAAATGTGCCTAGGGTAAACACGATTCTTTAATAGTTTAGTCCCAGTTGTGATGTATTCTAAAATCCACCTGAAAGTGGATACCTGGCAATCTTTGTTTAGTCTGATTATCTTCTATTATCGTTTCAGTTCATTGGATCCCATGATTAACAGCATCTAGCAGCTACCTTAATTTATTTTACATTGTAAACTTAGATATTTTCAATCCAATCCAATCCAATCCAAAAGATATTTGATGTAGTGCCTTTTCTTTGCAGTTACAAAGCGCTGCACACACTGCTCCACAATGTTTGGGCCACTTATAAACAAAAGTTAGTCACTTCTCAGCCGTGGATGACTCTTGACGAATACGTAATTACGATTAAGTGAAGCCTCTGCAAATATCTAAACAAGAATGATGTTAAATCAATCTGCTTCTTTATTCCAGTGGCCTGATGGTGCGTAAGCTGGAGTCTGGCGGTCGCTTCCGCACCAAGCTGGGTGGGGGCACCAGTCCCCTGAGCGGACACCCTGCTAAACTGTCCAGCACCTTCCCAAGGGAGGGGCAGAAGGGCGTGGTTGATGGAGCCGTGACGGCTAAGACCAGGAGGGGTTCAGCTAGTGCCCTACACAGCAGCCCTGCACAGGATAGCATGAGCAGGAAGGATTCTAGTGGAATGGACAAGTTTGCAAGACATGGAGTGAGTTTAAACATTGCTCTACCATCCATATGGCAAAGGGATCACTCGTATTGTCAATTAAATCCCCACTGCACTACTTATAGCTACTTGTGCCCTCTATGTAGCAAACAATGCCTTATCATTGCTTGTTGGTCCCCCATGATCCCCTTTTTCTTATGTTAATTGAGAACTGATTTGATAAGATAACCACCTCTCAGTGACCTTGCAGGGATATCTAATTCCCCCCCCCCCCCCCCTGGCCACACTAGTGCAGACGAGCTTTAAAACAAATTTTTAATTTTTTTTGTCTTCAAATTTGAGGTCCTTCTTACTTGACAAAGATAAGGGAGAAGATTAGAGGGAGCAGATTTAGATTAAGAAACGTGAAGAGGAAAGCTAAAGATGAGCTGATTAGATAAGAAGCAGAGAGAAAAGAGAAAGGAAGGAGAAAGAGAGGAAGATCCAGGAAGAGGTGGATAGATTGTATTAAGGAAGACGGTAGAGAAATTGATTTGTAGCTGGCGACAGACTGGACAAGATGGAGGGCAGTAAAGAGGAGACCCGACCCTTCATAGAGGGGACTCACAGGATGAAGATGATGATGACGATGGTGACGATGGTGGTGATGGTGGTGATGGTGATGGTGATGGTGGTGATAATGATGATAATGATGATGATGATGATGATGATGATAGTGATGATGTAGATGATGAAGATAATCATGAAGATGAAGAATGTTTCTTATTCCACATATCTTTTGTTACAGTCCACAGATTCAGGGCAAGGTGAGACAGCACCACATCACTTTGGGAGGAAAGATGCTGGAGGTAAAGACAAGCAGAAGAAAGGAAAGAACGGAGGGAAGGATAAGAAACAAGCGAAGAAGGATGGCCAGCCATTATCCCCTAGTGGCCAACCCTCAGATTCCTCCGGTGCCACGCCCAAGAAGCAATCTTTCAAGGTATGTTGGAGTGTCGAAAGGAGCGAAAATGTTCAACAATAGATGCTCTGGCAAATGTATGCTTTGTTGTTAATTTCGTACACCGCACAATTAATCACATTTAGCCCTGGGGTGTGTTTCACAAAGATCCTAAGTTGGACTTAAAAGTTATGGAAAGCTGTTAGCATCATTGAAAATATTTTTTAAAAGTTATTTAAAAGACATTAAATTTTGATTCAAAACATTCATATTTACTATTATCATGGAGATTTCAATGTTATTGATGTGGAATTTATGAAACGTCTAAAATACTATTTTTAAAATTTTTGAATAAATTTAATTTTAAGCCAGAAATGGCTCTCCATAATGGTTAAGTCCAAGTTAGAGTTAAGTTCGACTTTGTGAAACACTCCCCTGGACTAAACACTTTGACCCACCTTTATCATTACCTAGCCCTTACCCCCAAAGCTTACATAAACCCCAACATAAACAATTTGTTTGTGGCACATCGTCACCTCTCTTTTGTTCTTTGCCAGTGTAACCTCTCACCCCTCCCATTTGTTGTTCCTCTTTGAGACTTGTACTTGAGTAATCCGTACATTAAAGACACATAGTTGGAGGCTCTCATGGGGAATTAGACACGTTCCGGTGTTTACCCAACAACAGGTGTGTCAATCACCAGGATAAGCCTTCAGTTTTATGACCAGCAGGCCTTATGTAACGCTTTGCATTTTCCTCCCATTCCCCCATTTGGTAAAGTCATTATCTTACGTTCCCCTCAACTGTAGACTCTCCGAGAGACTAGGGGAGTTTCTTGATAGGCCCACAGGTTTGCTGTGTGCAGACTTGTATACCCATTAATGGTATTTCCATCAAGTCTGGTGTCAGCGAATTAAGGCCTTCTGCACGTGGAAACTGAAGACCCTCTCCCTTTAAACCACCTTTCTATAAAGACTTCTTGGTTTCCCACGAGAATTCTTTGTATACAGGTTTGACTGTATTATTTTTCTTATATTTCTACCTTCTTGACAGCCATTTGATAAGTACTGGATGGAGGAAGATGTGTCTAAACTTGTAAAACAGGGCAAGGTGGTAAAGGGAACGCTACGGATCAACCCCAAGAACTTTGAGGAGGCGTATCTTGACTCACCAGTAAGTATAAACTGTTCTTGAAAAGCTTTAATAATAATGATAATATGGATATATATATAGCGCTGGTATCCGCCAGGCTCTGACGCTCATGGCGCTTTACACATATTACCCTGGTTGTAGCCGAGCTGCCAAAGTAACTAGCGCTTGACCATATCAGGTACCCATTTACACCTGGGTGGAGAGTGGCAAATGTAAATTAACATTTCGCCAAAGGACATTAATGCCGGGGGCGGGACTTGTACCCTGTACATTGTGATCTGCTGTCAGGTGACTTGTCCACTAGTCCACAACACCTCTACATTTATTAAACTTTTTCCTTTTGGACAACCACATTTTTAGAAGATTGTCATTGAACTTTCAGGGGTAAAAATATTGACTTCAAATGAATGGGCAATATGCTATCTTCTATAGATATGAACCTCATGATAGAAGTGAGTCTTTCTGTTTCTGGAGGAAAATGTATATCTTTATTTATCACTCTTAATTATTTGGCAAGATTATTTTGCATACAACACAGAAGGAATTAGCATGGAACTCAATCTTGATAACAATTTGTGTGTAGTGCGTAGCCTGAATTTTATATATTTTTGTAGTTGTCTGGTTGTCTATATACAATTTTTAAAGTTGCATATTTGTACTTACAGAATGACATGATATAACACTGCTTGAATATTTAGTTGCTCTTATTTGACATAATAATTTCAGTAGGATTATTCAAATCATATACATTTCAGTCAATGCTTTGATGTCCCTTTCACATCCACTGTAGTTTTTCATAATAATAGGGAAACAGAATTTTATATATTTTTTTGTAGTTTACTTTTCTTTATACGATTTTTAAAGCTTCAGGTCATGATTGGACGGGAAGAGTATGACGACATAATAGTTACACTGCTCGAAGAACCGGTTTCTGTTAATTGACACAATAAGTTCAGTAGGATTAATAAAATTGTATATATTTCAGTCACTGCATATAGTTGTTCCTTGTGTAGTCTCGCATAATTGAGGCATAGTGTATTTGATACAGCGTATTGGGAAGGGTGAAGGTTGCAATATTTTAAGTAGGCGAATTTATCAAGCAAAGGAATCGAAGGTTGTAACACTGTCGGGGGACTCATTCTAAAGCTGGGAGATTATCTCAAGACTTCTCCCATGATACAAATCAAACTCTTGCATGTTCATTCAATCTCATGTATTCTCTCTGTTAGTGATTACTTAACAAGATGGTGGTACTGATAGCTTTATCAAAGATGCTCTCGCTGGCAACACAGCCTTCCAAATCCTCTAGATTTTCCCAAGAGTTCTCCGAAGATACCAAACAAACAAACTTTTTGCATTTCAGTCTCAATTATTCTCTCTGTTTTTGTTCGCCTATAGGATGGTGGTTCTGATATCTTTATCAACGGTGTTCACGCCCGCAACAGAGCCCTCCAAGGTGATGTAGTAGCAGTCCAGATCTTGACTGGTGAAGTTGTAATGGTAAGACTCAGTGGTTTGTCCTATTGGCTTGTAATAAGCGAGTTCGTAAATAACTCTGGACCGCATGACCTCAAAATATCCACAGATCTTAGACACGATGGATACTTCCCACTTGTGCATTTTAGAATAATCACTGCCAAAGTGATGGAGGTGCTTCATGAATACCTTTTGTTTGCCTCTTGAGAAGAATACTTCCACCTGTGTATCAGATAAATGTACTGTTGGTGCATAAATGAATACTGATTACATAACTTTCATGAGCACGATCCGAGTATTCATCTCAATGGTTTTACAATTTGGGTACGAATGACCTTTATCTGCCCATGCGCAAATCCTAATTACGAACTCGCTTATTATAAAGTTATGGGTTCAGTTCCCAGATAGATGTTCTGTTCCTTCATGCAAGCTGTTCTGTCTAGTTTTTCTCTCAGGACTGTGGTGTTGAAAATGGGCAGGGTCTAGTTTGAAAAAGAGAAAATCTGGAATGAATTGATCCCAAATTGTTTTATCAGGGAAAGTGAAAGTGAAAGCAGGGACCCGTTTCACAAAGCCTTTTTTCAATGACAAATGACAAAAATCAGTGACAAATCTGTTGATAACCCATCAGAAGCAAGGATTTCAGTAGCTTATAACAAAAATTGTCATTTGTCACTGATGACAAGTTTTGTGAAACAGGGCCCAGGAAGGACCATGGCCCATGTTTGTTTAGTGTACCTATTCTTTCCCATCTTGCCTGGTCGGGTGCACCTGTGCCTATGTAAGTATTGCCATATTTTGTTTATTCATTTGTATGTTCTCTTTTTTATGTATTAAAAGTGCCAAATGAATAATAACGACAATGCCACTTGTTATCTCCTTGAAAAATGGTAGTGCTCTAGGAGGCTGTGTTATCTATCTTTTTGTCCTTTTTGTCCTCTTTTAGCATAATTATTCAGAATAACATTTGTGGAAAGACCGGTATATATCTATTGTTCTGGATGAGAATGATACAAAGTCAGATAACTTTGATTTGATTGGACTTTGTTTCTTCAAAATACAACAATTATTTCATCCAAAGGCTGAATTCTGATTCTTTAATATTCATGAATTATTTATAAAGGCACCACATTCTGCAAAGTTTTATTGTATTTTTGCAAGAAGGAGTTTATGATCAAGGTAGCAGCTCTTCTCAAATTAAAAAATAAGGTAAGAGAATTTTATTCCTTTCCTTATCGAATCTACTCCTGCAGACTCCTAAGTCACAGAGGATGAGTACGCCTAGGAAACTTCTTGCCAACCAACCCATCATTGCAGTGTCCGAGAGTCCTGACCGACAGGGTTCCTCCACACCAGGATCATCGACCCCCAAGAAGCTGGGAGGGAGGTACTTCTTCGGAAGCCAAGGTATGGAGGTCCAACAACTCACCGTGATTTAAATAATAATAATAATGAAAATGTTGCTTATAAAGCGCTAACCACCGAAGTCTCTAAGCGCATTAACAAACAAAATAGACTGATAAACAATTACATATAGTCTGCCAATCACTCGAATATATTCTGTTGTGTGCTTTATGAGTTCCATGTGATAATACTTTGGAGCCCTATTACAGGAGATGATGCAGCTATTTATTTTTATGACGTTGGTTTTCACTTGACAAAGCTTCCATGTTGATTGCTACATCCACATTTATTTAATTCATTGCTTTCTAAAGATATTCCATGTTGTATTTTCTGTGGTTTTAATGAACACTCATATCATCTGTTGATAGGTAGAAGGTTGTTCACTCTTTTGAATCCCTACCTCACTACTAGTACTTGTATCTACTTGCTCCCTCTATATAGAAAACAATGCCTATAAAGCGGTGCCCGTTGGTCCCCCTTGATCCTCTTTTTCTTATGTTAATTGAGAGCTGAGTTGATGAGATAACCACCTGTTAGTGACCACACTGGGTGTTCTAATCCCTCCTGGCCGAACTAGTGCAGAAGGGCTTAAAGGCTCTCAGCAGTTGCTATATGTGTATGTACAAAATTAGAGAAAAGCAGAGTAAAATTTGTGAAAGTAATTAGATGATTATATTACTTTTGGATCCAATAACCAGGTGATTTTGACACAAGCAGCTTGAATGAGCTAGATGTATCAGACAACATGAGTAGCTTGTATCTCAACAACTCTGAAGCAGCATTTGGCTTCGCAGACGTCTCAGCCACGTCAGGTGAGGAGCAGGACAAGGTGGGAGACCTGGTGCGCAGGGAGTGGTCCGATGCCAGGTGAGTGGAGATACCTGCCTTTCAAGCCCCTCTGCACTAGTTTGGCCAGGAGGTTCTATCGAGTAGTCACTCTTAAAGTGACTCGGTAACATTGCCTCAGATTCTGAAACAAAATCCTGGATTTAGCTCATGCTGCAATCATAATTATAAACCCTTAGGTCAGTCAGGAATCCCATGACTTTTACAAGTCGATCGCCTGTCTGACTATCAAGATACATATGATTGGAAATCGTAATTTCATTTATCGTTTTCCTAACTGGTTTTATAACACTACATTCTATCGCGGAAAATGAGTATGATCAAACCGGTCACTCAAAGATTTTTACTTTTTTGAGGCACTTCATGATTATTTTGAAGCGCAATATTTTTAGGGCTTCAAAATAACACCATATCACAGACACTGATAACATGTAGAGCCGTGCATCTTAGATTTAACATTGTTAGACGATGCCTTGAAGCAATGTTACCGAATCACTTTAACAGAATCTGCTCCCTCCAAATCTGGGCCCTGTTCCATAAAACATGTTATTAATAACAAGCTACAATAACTGTTATAAGCTACTGAAATCGTGGGAGCAAATTTGTCATTAAAATATAGCAGTTTTATGAAACAGGGCCCAGGTTAGAATACCATTAATTATTTTCAGTGTAAGAGTGCCAACAATAACATCACTACTGAACGCCAACACTGTTTACATTGTGTCACGCAACCCTTTCAAACAGAGGGTATTTATTGCTTATGGTATTCCTCTAAATCATCCTAGGTCTGAGGTTTCGTCAAGTAGTGAAGTGATAGAAGACGCCCCTCGTACCCCAAGCAATAACAGGGGATCCTCAACCAGTGGAGGGGGAACTCCCCAGGTAAGTTGATTTCTGGTTCTGATCAAAAAATAGATAGAGAATAATAGAACAGCATAAGGATAATATAAAATATATATATATAATGTCACATACATACATGTATATGTAAATATATATTGTATCTGCCACACTGTTCTGAAAAGAAAGTACGTGGCTGCTGAGTAATCAGTCAGATATGCAAGGAACCTGGGGGGTGTTTCATAAAGCTGTGCGGAAAGTTACAAGTGACTTTACAAATGATCTGAATACGAAGAGCCAAATATGATGCCCAAAGATTTTCCTGACATTTTAACAAAGTGTGACTGTATTTCCCATAATCTCAATTAAATTGTAGCCCAAAATACAATTTGCATTAAAATATTTTGTTAATAATGATAAGGTAAATCTACATCTGCATATTTCAACTTTAGCTTATGGAATTCAAAGGATTTGAGAATCCCATTTAGCTCTTCATATTCAAGTCATTCGTAAACTCATGCGTAACTTTACGCAAAGCTTTATGAAACACCTCCCAGGAAACCTATAACACTCATTTTTTTATTTCAATTCAAAGTGTGTTGTTAACTATACTGATGATTTACGATTTGTAGGTAATCCATGCTTTACAAATAGCTTTTTCTTTTTTATTGAAAGAAAATCGGAGGGACACTTGGAAATGATCCACGCATGGCGCCCAAGACTGCCAGGGTCGTCTACATCTGTGAATACAAGCATTCCAGAGCAGCCAGCGGACATCTAAAGCTTCCATCTAACCCGGTATAGAAGATATTACTTATTACTTACATATATAATATTACCCTTAATTATAGTGGCCATATTCTTGAAAGCTGCTGAACTATCAGAAATGTCAGATTTGATTTACAAGTCACTATCATCCTGTAACTAATTCTGTTAGTAAACGAAAATACCCCAACAAATTAACAGGTGAAAGTACTCTAATTTTCATTTGATGACCAAATCTGTTTTTTTTTTTTTTTTTTTTGTAGAGCAAATTAAGCAATATTTCATTGGGTTTTATGCACTGTAAGAAAGAATTTTATTATGTACATATGATCCATATATATATATATATATATATATATATATATATATATATATTTATAGATTTTTCCATATTTGGCAAATAAATCTTTGTTGTTAAGTTCACAACCCTCATGGTTTTTCTCTTTTTAATTGCCAGAGAGCACCTGACGTGATGTTTGCTCCCACTGACCACCGTGTACCTCGGATCTACATCCCAAGGAAGGAATGCCCAGCTACGTTTTCCCAGCGACCCCAGGACTATGCAAACACACTCTTCATCGCTCAGATCATCGATTGGCCACGCATCTCAGCATTTGCAAAAGGGTAAGTAGTTACTCCAATTCGTAAAGAGACAATTACATAAACAGTAGGCTTGCGGATGCACCATGTGAGAGAGAGGGAGGATTGAGGCACATGGTACATCTGCAAGCCTACTGTATATCTACATCACCATGCAAGCCGATACTTACAAGCAGCAGACAATTACATGTCGTACTCCAAAATGTAAGACTAGCTTTAGATACAGACATAATGAAGCTTTTTATCCTCTTTTTTTTCTCCTTCTCATTTCTCTATGTAACTCATTCTAATTCTATCCCTCTGCGCCCCAGAATAGTTTACTAGATCGATGGCGCATAACAAATGATGTACGGTATTATCTTGCCCTGAGATGAAAATGCAAAAGGAACAGGAATCTAAATCAAGCATAAAGGATCTACATGTAAAGTGCAGGTTAAGAGAAAAATCTGTGATTGGCTGCCAAATATTGTTCCATTATGCCATTTTTTATAGTCGACTCTCAGCAAAAGGATATTCGATTATAACTCTAAATGGCTCCCACAAGTATTCCAGATGTGTTTTATAGAAATTAGCCATACATTTAACTTTATATCTTGGATGAAGAATATGAAACCTCTCTAGTATTCTCTCACCCATTATCCCATTCTATGCTGTTTAGGTTTAAATTAGACATCTGGATATTCTAAAAACAACAACAACAAACAAACAACCTAATGTAGATACCAACAATGGTTTAGTGGGAGTCTTCCTACATGCATTAAGGAGCCACTGGCATATGAGGGGGGGGGGGGGGTGTTGTGGACTTACCTGCTGAAAGAAATGTTAATTAACAAGGCCACTGATTAGAGAGAGGGTATGGGACAGGGTCCTATTATCTCCATTCTATATCCCTTTCCTTTTTTTTTAGGGGGGGGGGGGGCATCATACATCGTGCCCCATAGTTACTTTTTTCCATTGCAAATCAATATGTAATGTATGAAAATGCAAGCCTGTGGTGACAGAGCCCTGAACAGGATATGTAGCAATATACTGTCTGTTTGGAGCCAGAAGGGCATACACTCATATAGTTTAACACAGAGTTAATGCCCTTATGGCTCTGAACAGATGATTCATAGAGACTTGTATGAGTATTTCTTAAGTATTTATAAAGGAAAAAAAACACCTGACTGTACCCAATGAGTAATTTCAGCCTCTCCCCCTTTTTTTACTTTCTTACCTGCAGGCATTTGCTATACAGTATTGGACAGGCAGGGGAAGTAGAGGCTGAAACGACAGCTATGCTGATTGAGCATGGCATCGACAGTTCTGAGTTCACTACTGAGGTAAGTCTATCTCACCACACGTAGAGGTGTTGTGGTCTAGTGGATACGTCCCTGGCCTCTGAATCACAATGTGCAGGGTTCAAATTCCTCTCACATCACAGACATCCTTTGGCAAGACACCAAACTAAAACCCAATTTCAGCCCTTCCTCTTCTTATATATAGCAAAACCTAGAGAAATAGTCACTAGAGCATTTGTACAGAAGGAAGAGCTTGACAATTTCCGCCACATCAAGTATCTGTCGAATCTTGATTTGCATGAGTCGGTGAAAGTTGAGTCATTTGCTTCTTGGGATTGACTCCTCAAATACTCTACCTCTCTACTGTAATATGTACCGTGATAAAGTGTAGGCTTTCTTGATTTTAATGTATTCTTCTTCTTCAAGATAATCTGCCTCCTTCTATACTGAAGATTCTTGCAGATGCCATATATACTCGGCCTGCTTGGGGTGTGCAGGTGGACCACCACACTGGGGTTTCCCCCTACTCTTATACAAATAGTGCAGTGGGTTCATAATGTGCAAGGGTGGTGAATCTCCTATACACAGGGCCTTCATTTAACGTCCTATCCGAGGGACAGTCTCCTGTCCATTCAGGGTTTATTTATATATATATATATATATATAATATGTAGTTTGTTCTTAAACTTCTGGCAACCTTCTGTTGATCTTGCAGGTTCTAGAGGACCTTCCAAAGGAGCGCCCTTGGAGGATACCTGCGGAGGAGTTGTCACAGCGACGTGACCTGAGGTCAGAGTGCATCTTCACCATCGACCCGACCACAGCCAGAGATCTGGATGATGCTCTTCACTGTAAAGCTTTAGGAGATGGTGAGTATATATGAAAGATGGTTATGTCCTGGGCAGGGGCGGATCTGGGGGGGGGGGGGTATTTCGGCAGTTTAAACCCCCCCCCCCCCCTTGGGCGGCCAAGTGAAGAAAAAAAAAAAAAAACATTAAAACGGTGCGATTTTTTGGAAAGTCCTTGATCTGCCACTGGGTCAAACCCCCCCCCCCCACCCCATGGCAAAAAGCTAGATCCGCCATGCTGGGGGGTGTTTCACAAAGATGTATAGTCAAACTTAACTCTAAGTTGGACTTAAAAATTATGGAGAGCCATTTGTAGCCTTAAAATTAAATATTTCCAAAAGCAAAAATTGGACTATTTTAGACTTTTCATAAATTCTACATCAAGAACATGAAATCTCCTTGATCATAGACAATTTGAATGATTTGAATCAACATTTTATGCCTTTTAAAATAACTTGTACAAAATATTTTCATAGATGCTAACGGCTTTCCATAATTGTTAAGTCCAACTTTAGAGATAAGTTCAACTAAGGATCTTTGTGAAACTCCCCCCTGGTCGACCCAGTGGGCTACATTATCGGTCCTACACTTCATGGATAGCTGTTACATGTTTAACCATACATGTATTAAAGGTCAGGCTTTTTGGTTGATCTCATAGTTGCTGTGGTGGGGTTTGGAGGGGGGGGGGGGGGGTTCCACCATCCATGGGATCCTGGCTTGGGAGTGACAAATAATCATCATCTTACAGAACATCCTATGATGAATGTTAAATTTGATATCCTTATCTAATCGTTTTGGAAGTATCGCAAGTTAACTATTCATATTTTTACATGTGACAAATCTGCAGTATGTACAATTATACTGATGGTAAGATAACTAAATCTTCTGTATTGTAATTGATGGTAAAACTTTAATGAAGTTGGTATCAAAGGATTTGTAAGTGGTGAATGTCCAGGATGTTGGATCCCCCCCCCCCTTCCCATCCTTTTGAATGTTCAAGCCTAACATTCTGACATGATGCAGTAAACTGTATTGAACAAATAAACATTTGCGGCAAAATATTTTGAAATGAACGCAGTTTCTGTAGAAGATCATAGTATTATGACACATATATAAATATCCTTTTGAAAAACTATTTGGAAAAGAAGACCTTCGGGTTACAGTTATTTAGTTACCGGTAATCTTTTTCTTTTCCCGGCACCCATGTGACTCTTATCCAAATGTACAAATGTTTTGTGTTCAATGATTTTCTTTGTTTTTGCAGAATAAATAATAATATTTTCTGATTGTATATCATACTCTTTCCTTTTCTCCTCTGTACATAGGCATCTATGAAATGGGTGTTCACATTGCTGATGTGAGTTACTTTGTGAAAGAAGATACCAGTTTGGATAAGACAGCAAGTCACAGAGCTACTAGTGTTTATCTGGTCCAAAAGGTAAGTACAAAATGAAACCTGTATGCGATTTTCATTCACTACCGTCACTTTGTGAAAATAGGGACGATTTATATAGCTCTCTTACACATATTAAACAGTTTCACAGCGCTTCAAATGAATGAATGAATGAATAATAAATAATTAATTTATTTATTCATTCGTTCATTCATACCTTAGGATACAAAGGAGACAATACACAAACAGAGATGAGTCTTGTAATGAAGAGCTGGAATATCAAGGATAATATTTTCTCAAATTTTGAAATGAATTGCGTTTTTTTCTTCGAATTAAACTATTACTATGTATCAGATTTTTCAAATAATCACAGTAATGGCCCAACGCTCAAATAGCTTAATATCATTGAGTCTAACACAAGGAGTTTGTCCCTCATTTGTTTTTGTTAACAAGTCATCTTGTCCAAACAGAGTGAATGAAGTGAGATGAGGTAGGGGGACCAAGTGGCATTGTACCCAAAGGCAATAAACAATTTCCATGTATCTAAAACCAAGCAAATGGGGCCAGTCACCACGAAATGAGTCCAGTGTCGCATTAGGCTCAATCGTAGTAATAGCGATGTCTAGTGTGTATGTACTGAAAATTGACCCACCTACCACATTTAAGATTTTTCCAAAAATCGACTTATTAATGTCTTGTAGTTTATGTCCCCAGAGCTTAGGTCACAAAAATATCTCCTTCTAACATTTTTTGGCAAATAATATAGGCTATGTTACGCATCATTAACTTTACACCTAATTATCTAAAAACTGGGTAATCCCATTGTTTATAAAGTCCAATTAGGTTTTTGTTCATATTTCTGGATATAATTTATCAATTTTAATGTGTGACCCCTTAATTTAAAGCTTACTTAATGTAGATTCATATAATACTTAAAACAGGAATAAAATTTTTGACCAACTGGACTCATTTCGTGGTGACAGGCCCCAAATGTGAAAGTACCATTGATATTTGATACTTTTTCCTATTCTTATTCTCATTATTATGTCTTCTTATTCATAAGGTAATTCCTATGTTGCCGCGATTACTTTGTGAGGAGCTGTGCAGTTTGAATCCCGATCAGGAAAGACTTACTATGTCTTTTATATGGAGGATGACGGAAGAAGGAGAGGTGAGAATATAAAACTGATCCTTGATAAATGGAGGCATGTGTAACTGATGTGACAATGTTTGGTTTACCAATATGTTACAACATGTACTTTGTTTCTATAAAACCTTTTATTTTGTTTGGAAATTTCATAACATTTTTATAAAATCTATGATATTAGACTCAGTAATTATTAATACATATATTCATTTTTATAATAGATAATTTTAAAGAAAATTTGTCCCTTTATTCAACTGTCATCATTCCTATTCCTTGTCTCAATTCATTTTCTTTCTAGCTGTCTCCTCATTCTCATGAATACTCACTTTTTCCTATATTTTGTCCCGATTACCTTTATGATGTATATTATATTGTGCGATTATCTTTTGTAATGTATGTTTATTTTGACTATATATCTTTATGATTTTGTATGTTATTGTATCTAAATGTTGTTATGATGAATGAAATGAATTTGATTATCTATCTATCTATCTAATAGATCTTGCAAGAATGGTGCGGCCGTTCTGTGATCCGTTCCTGCGTCAAGCTCAGTTACCTCCACGCCCAAGACATGATCGAGAACTGGGAAGAGAAAGGGGACGACATCGTGCTTCCAGAGATCACCAACGGCTTCGGCAGGAACGAGGTGGCTCAAGCTGTGCTCAACATGCAGAAGGTACCTCATAGATTCAATTTCGTATGATCGTTCAGTTTGGTATGATCGTTCATCAAACACACGTGCAATAGTGAATATGCACTGCACGTAGGTCAAGTCACAATGGGATAATGAACAAGACTTGTCAAGCTCCCTTAATAAGCAGGCACCTCAATACCTACATGATTGTTTGACCCTATACATGTACACCCCTCGCGGGAACCTTCGAGCCTCCAGTGACCCACTCCGTCTTACATACAGCATCACACAGAAAATAGCTGGAGATTTTCACTATAACTGCATCTAAATATTGGAATAGGCTACCTTTAATACTCTGGCAATCACCATCTGTCTCTTCATTAAAAAAAGGACTTAAAACATTTCTTTTTTGTAATCCAGATTTTTAGGATTTTGTAAGTTTTCATTTTCATTTTTTGTAGGATTCTTCTTGTTGTAAGTGCTTTGGGTTGCTCTGGGAAAAGCGCAGTATATAAATAATATCTGGCTCATTTTAACTTTACAGAGTGCTGTTATTTTGCCCATGTACCTGTTTTCTCATTGTAGTAAAATGGGAAATAAATGATTTGAAATTGAAATTGAAATTGATTTGTTCATCCATCAGATCTGTTATTTTTTTCTTGCCTGACAGATTGCTTCAAACCTACGCAAGAAACGTTTTGATGGTGGTGCCCTACGACTCGATCAAGTGAAACTACAGTATTCATTGAATGCAGAAACCACACTTCCCAATGGCTACTCAGTCTACCAACAGAAAGACAGTAATAGGTAAGAAATTGTCATAATGATAATAATAATAATATAGAGTATATGTAATGCGCCAACTCCACATGACTAATGTGTTCGAGGCGCAATGGAGAAGAAAAACTACAGGTCCACGGAAATACACACAAAAATGAACATCAACAATGTGAAAGTAAATCTACTGGAAAGCCGCTTTGAACAAATAGTTATGTGGGCATTTTTAAAGCATTCTACACTTGAAATATAACAAATATCTTGTGGCAATTGATCCCATAGGTAAGGTCCAGCATGGGCAAATGACCTTTCCCCAAATTTAGTTCTGGAAGCTCTAAATAAAGAGTTCTGGTGATAAAACAAACAAACACAAAGTTATATTCAAAGATGCAAAGAAATCTCACAAATAAAATTGACAAATGCATAAGACCTCTTTTGAAGAAAAAAAGGGGAAAAACATATACAGCAACAGGCTGTTTGACCTTTAATGTTACTATACATGTAGATCTGTGCACTTTTCCTTTTGTAAAGGACTTATCGTTGACATAAATTGTTATTTTGCTGATTTTTTAAATTGTATTTGACAATATTCAATTTGTAGACATGTTTTCATGTATTTCTTATTTTATCTTTGTATCCAGATTGGTTGAGGAGTTCATGTTACTAGCCAACATGGCGGCAGCTCACCGAATCTTCAAGGCGGAACCACAGAGGGCGTTTCTGAGGCGACACCCACCTCCCAAGGAGAAGATGATGGACGACCTAGCGACGCTCTGTGAAAGTCTTGGTCTGGACATGGATGGAACAACAGCTGGAAAGCTTCAGGTGAGGTTCAACAAAAATGTGGAATGCCGGGTAGATTCTCTTAAAGCCCCACTGCACTACTTATAGCTACTTGCGCCCTCTATAAAGCAAACAATGCCTCATCTGTGACCATTGATCCCCATGATCCACTTTTTCTTATGTTAATTGAGAGCTGATTCAATGACATAACCACCTGTCAGTGACCATGCAGGGAGGTCGAATCCCTCCTGGCCAAACTAGTGCAGAGGGGCTTTAAAGACATGATCTCTGAAGATTCTTTGTGCATTGCATTATAGTTTGCGTACACAAGGCTTGATGGAATTACCAATTGATGTACATTTACATGTTTGCAGAATTCTGACACAAACACCACAATTCAAGATCCTACATGTACATTGCACTTAACAATTATGGAAAGCCGTGTTGTAAAACTTATTTAAACAGTCATAAAATGTTGATTCAAATCCTTCATATTTTCTATTATCGAGGAGATTTCTCAAGTTCTTGATGTGGAATTTATAAAAAGTCTAAAATACTTGAATTTTTGCTTTTGAATATATTTTTTTAAAGGCTACAAATGGCTCCTCATAATGTTTAAATCCAATTCAGAGTTAAGTACGACTTAGGAGCTTTGTGAAAGACCTCTTGTTGTTTTTATGCCTCCGTTACGAAGTAGCCGGAGGCATTATGTTTTCGGGTTGTCCGTCCGTCCGTCCGTCCGTCCGTCCGTCCGTACGTCCGTACCGTCCGTACGTCCCGTTCTCGTGATCGCGTTATCTGAAGAACCGATTGATGGATTCCTGCCAAACTTTGGTCATGTATGTATCTTGCAGAGCCGATGAACTGAATAGATTTTGGGGTCACGAGGTCAAAGGTCAAAGGGCTCATTACCGTATTTGCCAGCGTAAAGGCCGCACCGCCGTATAGGCCGCACCCCCAACTTTGACATTTCGTAGAGGAAAAAAAAAAAAGAGAAAAAAAAAAAAAAAAAAAAAAAAAAAAACGAGAAAAAAAAAACGGACCAAACAAAAAGATCGTAATTTTCTTGTAGAACACTCTCTTTTTTTTTACAAACTATACCAATTCATCAATATTCTTATAAATCAACAAGAAGTTAACCTCAAAAATGATCATAATTTAGCAGATCTTCATCGACTTTTAAGCTAGTACTGTATCGTACGCAGATTTGGTATCCTACAATACCCCTTCCTCGATGTGCGGTGTAATCCGAAATAGCATTTTTCGACCTGCGCAGTTGCGTTGCGCGGCAGCTACCTCTTTAAGTAACGGCCTGTCCCTTTGTTTACTTTTTGGCGATGCAATGGTATGGACTTAGATCTAGATCTATCGGCAGATTTTTTTAGAAAAATAAGTTTTTTCGTCTTCATGTCAACTATGCAACATAAAATTGTCGGTAAGTTGTGTGGAGTTATTCTAGAATTGTCCTGTACCGTTGTCTAGTCATGCTACCGTTCCTATAGTCCCATACGTGCAAATGGACGTGATGTTTTGACCGCTGAATTTTGTTGTTGTTGTTGCGTATACGCCGCACCCTGACTTTTTGATTTTTTCTCACCCGAAAATACTGCGGCCTTTACGCCGGAAAATACGGTATGTATGCAAAAACAGCTCATGATCGCGTTATCTCAAGAACCGATTGATGGATTCCTGCCAAACTTTGGTCATGTATGTATCTTGCAGAGCCGATGAACTGATTAGATTTTGGGGTCACGAGGTCAAAGGTCAAAGGTCACAGGGCTCATTATGTATGCAAAAACAGCTAGTGATCGCGTTATCTCAAGAACCGATTGATGGATTCCTGCCAAACTTCCTGCCAAACTTTGGTCATGTATGTATCTTGCAGAGCCGATGAACTGATTAGATTTTGGGGTCACGAGGTCAAAGGTCACAGGGCTCATTATGTATGCAAAAACAGCTCGTGATCGCGTTATCTCAAGAACCGATTGATGGATTCCTGCCAAACTTTGGTCATGTATGTATCTTGCAGAGCCGATGAACTGATTAGATTTTGGGGTCACGAGGTCAAAGGTCAAAGGTCACAGGGCTCATTATGTATGCAAAAACAGCTAGTGATCGCGTTATCTCAAGAACCGATTGATGGATTCCTGCCAAACTTTGGTCATGTATGTATCTTGCAGAGCCGATGAACTGATTAAATTTTGGGGTCACGAGGTCAAAGGTCACAAGGCTCATTATGTATGCAAAAATAGCTTGTAATCGCATTATCATTAGAACTGACAGATGGATTACTATTTAACTCAGGACATCTTGCAGAGCCAATGAACTGAGTAGATTTTCTGAGAACCTGTTAATGGATTATAATGAAACTTGAATTTGAAAAATTTCTTCTGTTTTGGTTTGTAAACTTGCTCTATGACGGAGGCATCATTTTCGACTGCGCGCAGTCGAAGTTCCATCTAGTTTAAAATTAAGTTCACTCATGTGATTGCTAACACCCGTTATCGGTTAAAGTGTCAAATTTCCCACAATAAAGTGTCTTTAAATTGACAGGCTTTTTTTTTGAGGGGGGAGGGGATATTTGACGGTATTGCCCCAAAATAATCGCCAAAATTTTAGAAAAGGGCAGTATGTTTATATATATTATATAAACAATCACCTATTACCTCCCAAGATAATTAGTATAATTCATTCACTTTGTAATTATTATTATCAATAGACCAGTTCGTAGTTAGCACATGGGTCATATGACCCCAAATATCCACATATCTTTTAAACTTAGATAAATCCAACTTTGTGCCTTTTGGAATAAACACAGCTAAAGTCATGGAAGTGATTCTTTGTTTGCCCTCTTCAAAAGATTATTTCCACCTGTGTTCAAAAAAATGCATCACAGGTGCATGCATGAATAATGGTTACATAACTTTCGTGAGCATGTATCCAGTATTAGTCTCAGTGGGTTTTACAATTTTGTTCAAGTGACCTTTATCTGCGCAAGCTCAGATTGTATCTACGAACTGGTATATTACAAGTTCGCGAATGTCATACAGTTTCCTTCAAATTTTTGTTTTTCATCCCTTAGGCTTCTCTGAACAGGTACTGTACATCAGAAGAACAAGCCAAGTGTCTGCTGAAGGTGCTGACTGTCCTCTACTCTAAACCGATGCAGGTGAGCTCAAAAATCCTGTGATGCACCACTTTGGTTTACATATACATGTATATAACCTCTTCTGCGGAAACAACACTTTCGAGAGTGAAATTTGACTTAAAATGCTTGATTTGGGCATGAAATAACTACTGTAGATATCAATGTCATGATAGAGGTAATGGTTATTGTTTCTGGAAGAGAGAAGAATACCTTCATAGTTCAAACGCAATGTTCAAGATTTCTTAGGGGGGGGGGGGGGATTAGGTTGGGTGGTATACTATACCAATAATACACAGCAGTGAGGGCATTAGTAAGAATTACCCACACAAGGTACCTTTGGAGCAGTCTAACACCCAAGGCGATAGCCGAGGGTGTTTGGACTGTTTTGAGTGTGGGTAATTTTTTTTAATGCCCAAACAAAATGATGTGTATTATTTGTTTCATAAAATGATGTTTTATAACATGATTTTACTAATGACTGGTCATTAGTAAAATTACGTGTTAAGCAAAATAAATGCATGGCATCCTGGTACTTTTGTGCAAAGCATAAGATGCACTGATATTTCTTGTTAGCACAAAGTCCTTCATACTTCAATAATGTAACTTAGTGACTCAACCTTGCTGAAAACTCTCTATGCTTTATGTAATTATATTTTTCTGCAAAAATGCAATATTCTGCAATATATGTATATATTTTTAAGGAGATTTTAAATACCATATCATGTGTGAACAAATCTTATAATCTTGATTATCTTGATTTTGTTCTTATTTCCGTTATACAGAAAGCGAGATATTTCTGCTGCGCGAGTCTAGAGGATGAGGAAATGTATCGTCACTATGCACTGAACGTACCGCTGTACACTCATTTCACATCTCCCATCAGAAGATACCCTGACATACTGGTACATAGAATGCTCGCTTCATCTCTCGGTAAGTGCACAAACAGAATGTGTATTAAGATGGATAGATTCTCCAATATTAAGTCCAGAGTCCAGACGCGTGTTTCACAAAGATCTGAAGTTGAACTTATCTCTAAGTTGGACTTAAAAATTATGGAGAGCCATTTGTAGCCTTAATAAAATATATTCAGAAGCAAAAATTCAAGTATTTTAGAATTTTCATGAATTCCACATTAAGCGCATGAAATCTCCTTGATAAGAGAAAATATGAATGATTTGAATCAACATTTTTATGCCTTTTAAAATAACTTTTACAAAATATTTTTAAAGATGCCAACGGCTGTCCATAATTGTTAAGTCCAACTTAGAGATAAGTTCAACTTAGGATCTTTGTGAAACACCCCCAGGTGTTGGCATGATATTATGTCACAGAAAGTGATGAAGAAGAGAAGGTTTGTGCTTTAAATCCATAGTTCAAAGATGAATAGATGCATCAAATATGGATGGATGGATAGATTAAGATATCTAGAAAGGAGAGAAAAAGAGAGAGTGAGAGAGAGATGGAAATAACGATAGATTAATTAAAAAGATGGATATATCAATAGAGAGGAGGGAACTATAGATAGAAGGATGAATATATAAATAAAGAAAGATCAGTAGAAAAAAATTAATAGACACATGAAAATGTATAGTGTGAGTGTGAAAGAAAGAGAGAAGAAAGAAAGAAAGAAGGAAAGAAAAGACCCATCGGTTATTGACTATTGTAATTATGTTTATACCAGGGTGTGGTCCTGTAATGGAGAGAGACCAAGGGAGACTATAGAGGCAATCCGTGAGGTGCAATAATGCTTCCTTAGACATTTCCCAAACAATGTAGATTTTTTACACATAGACTTCAATAAACGGGTGTGGCCCTTTGGGGGGGAAATTAAAGCCTGTCTGCACTAGTTTGGCCAGGGGGGATTAGACCACCCAGTGTGCTCACTGACAGGGGGTTATCTCATCAACTCAGCTCTCAATTAACATAAGAAAAAGAGGATCATGGGGGACCAACAGGCACCACTTAGGCATTGTTTTCTATTTAGAGGGAGCAAGTAGCTACAAGTAATGCAGTGGGGCTTTAAGTTAAAGTCTCAACTCGTGTATGGAACTCATGTATGGAAGTTTATCTTATTATACCAGCATGTGGTCCTGTAATGGAAAGAGACCCAGAGAGACTGCAGAGGCAAGCCATGAGGTGTAATGATGCCAAGGATTCAGCCAAGGAAGTGTCGGATAAAAGCAGTGATCTCTTCTTCTGCCAGTTTGTCAAGGTTGGTCAAATCATTGTCTTGTTTTGGTTGTTTAAGGTGGAGTGATATTGATATAAAATTAAAGATAATCATTAATTTTCAGCTTATACTGCAATTGAAAATGATCTTTGAACAACTGGTAGTAGCCTTATTTTAACAAAATCTGTGTTCATGTTTTTTTCATTCCAGCCATTGTTCTTTTTGTCTGTATTCATATTTTACTCTCTTTCTCCATGTATGTCTGTCTGTCTGTCTATCTCTCTCTCTCTCTCTCTCTCTCTCCCCTTCTCTATCCTACTTTCTCTCCTTATCTCATATTTCTTTCTTCTCTTATTCATCTCTCTATCTTTCTCTCCCTTCCTTATTCATATTGCTCTCTTTCCCTCTCATTTCCCCATCTCTCTCTTTTGCTTTCTATCTATCTGTTTCTCTATCTGTTTTCCTGTCTGTCTCCTCTCTCACTTGCTTTATTTGCTCACTCACATTTTATGTCTGTATCATCTGGTTCATATGTTTATGGCGTTCCTTTTCATTTATTCTTTTTTTCTCATTTGATACCATCATATCTATCTCATATACATGTATAATAGGATACAACAAACTCTTTTGTCTTTCTTGTTTGATTCCACAATAGCTAAATATATGTATGAAACTTCTTAAATGGACAATTTATTTGAAAGCTCCTAAATGCTAGCCATCATGATTTCACCATGAAACAAGGTTCATAATAAACCTTAACATTTTGAAAACAAGATCCAACTTAGATGCTGCTTATAAGTATCGGCTTGCATGGTGATGTATATATACAGTAGGTTTACGGTTGCAACATGTGTGAGAGGGGAGAGGATTGGGGAGTCCTGAAAAAGACTGTCGGTAATCTTTCTTTCTTGAGTTATCTAACTTGCAATTTTCTTTTCATTCAGGAATGTGGACCTCTGGTTGAGAAGGCCATTGTCATGGCAGTGCTAGATCGCTCATTCGATGTCCTCATTATCAATCTTGGACAAGTGAAGAGAGTCTACTGCAATGTAAGTCAATACGTACTTTCCTTAAAGGGATAGTTGAGTTCTTGTTTCAGACCGCAAATACCTTCAAAGTGTATGGTTATTGCTCTTTTTCTTATTTAGCACATTTTTAGTGCCCTTTTAGGACCTAAAATTGCTATGAAGGTAAATTTAGACCCGAAATGCATGAAATTTAGCCAATACGATTATACCAATTCAGCTCTACTTTAAAAAAAATATGGTGACTGTTAATTAATTAATTACTTAATAATAACAATACACGGGCCAGCTGGTCGTATAACCAACAACAAAAAAGCCAACAAAAAGCAAACATCTGCATTGGCTGGAATATTTCCTACAAGGCGCTATTTCGTTTTTTCAATGGCTAGTTCAAATTATTATCTAATATTTGGGGTGGTACACAAATATTAGAAATGGGCCACAAGTTCTGTCTTGGGCTATTTATTAAGAAGAACTGACCCTTTAAAAAGTTCATTGTTATAATTCCTCACTTAAACCATGAATGAATGCTCTACAGTCTCTTAAAAGCAAGATCCTGCTAAGATCCAAATGGGCCACACGTTTCGCTGTGACCATGATTTGTGGAATAGTTATTGGGGATTCCATTAAACTTTATTGTGAGCGAACTGTAGGGAACTGTGACACATTATGCATAGAAGTTCCTTAGAAAGTATCTTTGAAAGTTGTTATCATTTGTTGTGTTTTTTGTTTTATTTTATATTAATGGCAGGCTATACCTTTGAAGAAGTTAATTGCAGTTCCGATTGCAAAGTACTATGAGCTAACCCTGGAATGGGAGGATGAAGCAGGGTCAAAGGGCGTGACCCAGGTCATCAAGATGTTTAGTCAGGTGACCGTGGAACTCACAGCCGACAGAATGCCCGGGAAGTATAAGGTAGGACAGGGGAGCTTCTCATAAGGGCGTTGATGTATCTTTGTTTCCCGTTGAACTCTAATTTTTTATCTCATTCAAATATGATATGGTAATCCGCCTAGGAAGAGAGTGCTATGGTGAAATGAAAGGACATACAAGACTAGCTTTTTTTTCTTCTTCAACTTCATGTGACATTTATTGATGCATTTAAATATTAAAAAAAAGAAGATGAGGATTTTATGCATCATTCAGAAACTGCATAATAACATAAATAACACTTGCATACACATATCACCATTAAAGGGGCATGTTCCCCGTATTCCAGAGGGCGCTCAAAATATGTCAGGCTGGCGGACGGCGCTATAGCTGCCTGTTGACACCAATAGAATACGGCTCTTACGCAGATGGCATGCTCCGATAACTACATGTACACTGGCGGGAACGTGCCCCTTTAATGTCCCTTCAGTAATTTCCTTATTGTCATGTATTCCTCTGTTATGTACATTAGCGTGCTGAGTGGATGTTACTAACCCTTCCATTTTTATGAGCACATTCGGTTTTGCCTTTACCATTTCCCGGACAGATTTTATTTATAGGGCTAAATTGATCACATGTTCTTCAAATTGGCTACAATAATTTTTTTTTTATTGCTACATTGTTCCGATAAAATGTAATGTCTATAAGAACAATATTTATGTGTACAGAGAACAGACTTTGTCAAAAAGTTCAGAAAATTGCCAATTTTGATTGAAAATGACGTTTCAGAGTCTCTCAATTTGTTGCCAATTTAAAGAATTTAAAGCTTATTTTCCTTTTTAAAATGCCTGGCATGAAATGCAATATGGTCATGCAAGAAAAGTGGATGCAAGGTATGCAGAAATGTTTGCTCTTTCTACTCATGTATCAGGAGGGTGTTTCACAAAGACTAAGATTAACTTTAAGTTGGACTTAACTATGGCAGGCCGTTCATGCCACTGTATGCTTTCACCATTTACTGGCAATGGTCTCTCAAGGGACGTACAAATCATGGTCACACATCTACAGAATTTAGCTTTTTTGATAGTTCATTATTGAAGGAAAAAATATTATCTAAAGATCATAATTGAGAGACCAATGGTGAGAACAACCAGTGGAATGAATGGCCTGTCATATTTAAGTCCAACTTAAAGTCGATCTTAATATTTGTGAAACACTCGCCTGGTATGTTTTTTGGCAATCTGAAACAAAAGTTATTGAGCCAATCACAAAATGTGGAATTATTGTCCCGAAACGGTTAACAAATATTTTTTCATTTCTTTTACCCTTTTTCCCCCTTTTTCAGGCTGTGCTGCAAAGGCCGTGCAACTCGTCATAATTAGCAACCAACTCACCCACGAGGTATCCCTTGCCCATGTTTATTTAATGCAGCTACAATGCATGTATATGCTGCACCTTGTACATTCTACTCCCGACTATCTAAACAAATGATGCCATACCCACTGTCGTTTTGACATTTTATGTATTCTTCTTGAGCCCTTAGAAGTACGATAATAGCATGGTGATGATAATACAGTCAAACCTGCTTTAGTGACCACCTGTATAGAAAGACTGCATCTTTTTGTTTCCCTTGAAAATGGTTTCTCATTGAAACATGTCCTAAAGTAACCTGTACGTAAAGACGACCTGCCTATAAAGACCTCTTTTCTTGTCTCCTTTGGGTGGTCTTTATAGACAGGTTTCACCGTAGTAGTAATAGCAAATACCCTGATGAATTAGAGTATTTGCAATGCATCAACTTTACATCACTAATTTGCTTGAGTCTGTTCTTAAAATAAACCTTAAAGAAGAGAATTACATGCATAATTTACAAGATTTTATGGTATGTCTTGAAACCTGATATTTGATCTGGTTGAATTTAAGGTATGACACCACATTCAATGATACTGCCAATAATGGATTTTTGTTGTTGTCACTACATGACATGTAATCAGACATCTAGAGAATTACCCTGAGGTTCTTTAACTGATTGCCCCTGGGAATTGGGTGCTTCATGTATCCTGCGGGAACTAGAATTCTTCAATAATAATAATAATCAATTTTTATATAGCGCGTAACACTTTACAAAGTATGTCCCTGTGCGCTTAGAAAGAAAAGCAAAGAGATAAATAGGATGCTGAGTTCCTTTTACTTGTTTACAACAATTGAAATAAATGTATTTTCAGGGTGGACTTGAACTTATCTAACTCAAACCCAAATGTCTTTGACATTATTACTAGTGACGTAGCTATAGGTGCTCACAACAGTAGAGAACAATCTCTCTTTTTCTTTCTTTACCATGCCTGAATTCCAATTATTTTATACTCACATGACAGGGTAACATGTAGCCATACAAGCTTTGCTTAGAGAATTTGGTTACGGATTCATATTTTTGCTCCTATATGTGTGATGCATGTTTAGCAGGCTTGATGATATTGTGTGAGATTCGTTTGTTGAAAGACCATCTTGCCATCCTGCCCGCTCTGCCACTGTTCATGCACATGTATGTAGACATATTAAAGGTTGTGTCAACAAGTGGTGTTTAGACAAGTTTACACACAATTAGATATACGCTGAATGGGCCTTTGTGGGTAATTCTACAGTGTTTGGCAACATGTCCTGCCGTATTCTCCTGGAATTTTCAAGTCAAGGTTTTATCAACAAGAGGACCCACTCACCGAACAAGTACCTTAGTCAAAGTATAGGATGCCTATCAAATCGACGAAGGAGAAGAGTATGTCCAGTTCGATCCATGGATAATGATGTCTCCTTCAAGCTGATAAAGAGTCCAGAGTTCTATTGGGTCCTAATGGGTACTGATGGTATAGACCCATTGCATAATTGTGGTGATAGGTGATGCGAATGGTTAAAAGGGCTGTAGCATGGGAAATACCGGTTGACGCCATCTATGTCTTCTTTGGACAACTGCATATAAACAAATGGACTTGGTTAACTGGGTCAGCGCGCGCTAGCGTTCGCGAAACAGGTCGAAGTTCTCCTTACGCTTCGGCTTTGCGTATGTTGGATGGACGTGAATACGTAGGCCTACTGCGGTCGCATAGTCATATTAAACTTGATTGTCCCTGAGTGAGGCCACGGGAAAGACATGTAGTCTCGTCATGCTACAGCCTCTTTAAAGACCCATAGTCATGGGTGGTTATGGGAAATTTGACACCATTCGGATGTTTACACAATAACAGGTGTTGTCAATCACACACACAGTGTGGTCCTCACCTTTATGATCAACAGTTCACCTATGATATTTGAAGGCAAGATTCAAAGAAATTTTCTGGTGGGTCACATTTTCACTGCCTGGGAGACCTGAGCACACTTTAATAGGTGTCAGCCATTTGTGAGGCATTACACATGAATACAGATGACTGTGTGGCTTAAACATGTGGCTGTGTGTTTTGAACTGTACCAGTTTTGGATTAAATCTGTTGCGCTAAAGAAAAATGAGCATCATATAATTATAACGCCTGTTATTTTCATACACTTTACTAACAACCTTCTCTTAACATTCCCTTTAAAAAGCGGGGAAAATCATTCTTTTTTTAATACACAGATGTAGCATAGTTTGCCAGACGGATATCGGTATGCAAAGACATCCATGTTTTGGTGATGCTTGTAAGATGATATAGATACTCATGTAATTGTATGATATTCTTTAAGAATGGCTTCCTAGTGCAATGCGTATAAAAGAGAATATATCTGTTCATTTTTATTATCTAAGTCAGTCTATGTTTTTATTTGTAGTAAACGAAAACAAGAACTACATGTATATATCATATTTTGATTGATGTAACTGTATTACTCGATAGTGCAACCACAATATTACTGGTGCTATACGTTGTTAACACATCAGTCTTTGAGAAATTTGAGTTATTTTTATGGACTCTTTGACTGAACTACATGAATGTTTTACTCCACTGCAATTTTTTGACAATTCTATATATTTTTGTGGACTTGAACATTTTCTAGCTAATTACAGTATTCTTAGGATCATATATTAATGAACTTCAGACCGAGTATGCCATAATGCATTTATTATTAAAGCTAAATGCACTTTTTTTCTGAAAAGAAAGCAAAAAAGTAGGTATTAATATCTTGATTGAATAAGAAAGTAGTTTGCAGGTCTTTGAATTGTAGAACAAGAGTTAATGATTAATGTACTATGTACTATTGGAGGTATTTGGACTTTCATTGACTAATGATGTACAAACAAGATATGTGAATATTATAATTTTTATTATTCAGTATTGCTTGTCAAAGTTCTTTCATGAATGTCAAATATTGCATTTATTAACTAACTGTTGATGTATTGAACCACATAATTGTACTTAGTGTTATTGGAATGCATTGATTTAGAGACGTGAAGTTGATGTGAACTTAAATAAAAATACATTAGAGAAAAAAGAGAAGAAAATCCCTTATCTCCTTTAATACGGAGAGGGAGGATAATGAAATATTACATAAAGGCTGTATTCAGAGGCACTGATTATATCTTAATGTCAGAAATATTTTTTTTGTGAGGGTTTAATCAAATTTCAGATAAAAATTAGGCAAAAGTGTAAATAGTGTTGAATATGCAAAAAAACTCTAATGACAGTAATTCCACTTTTGTCTTGCTCTGCATCAAAAGGTGTTATATGAAGTGAGATGAAATATTTCCCGTTTCATAATCTAAAGAATCATAATCATTTATATTTTCCAGACACACGTTTCTTTTCTATCAGCTTTTGCATGTATGTAGGCAATTTACATATTTCATCAAATCTCTAGCTTAATGTACCTGGAAATGAAAGGGTATCATAATAATTTTGTTCAAAGATATGAATTTTCCCCCTTCTAATTTTATATGAATAGAGTTATTGTGCAGGGTATTAATTAATTTTGTATATTTGAAGACTACTTTCAAGCTTAAATTGTTCCTGCAGACTTTATGTGTTTTGTAATGGCTTTTTGAATTTACATTTGCTCTTTCAGAGTGCCATAGGATATTGAAAGTTGGTTGGTTGGTTTCTTCCTGATTGCTAAGAAGCTTTTGTTAGCTTGTAAGAATCCAGGGGACCAACAGCTTTAACTCCTCTCCAAAGGACTTGGTAATGACGATAAATGCTCTGTACCTTGTAGAAATAATCCCGATGGCAGCTCATCATATAACCTGCCATCGGGATTATTTCTATGAAGTGAGGGATACATTTAGGATACCTGCTACAACTAATGAAAAAGTTTAAAAGGAATACACAACATGTAAGGTTAAACGAAAATTATTGTGAAGTCTCTCTTGAAAACATGCATGTATGGTGCATAGGAACTTATCAAGTTCTGTTTGTCACTTTTCCAACCTTCTTCCATGAAAATTAATATACCACCGAAGCATAATTAATCTTCTTCAAAATCCGTGATGGGGTTTATCTTTATCGTCTTCTTGATTGTCTGATCATCAGTATTGAAAATGATTATGATGATGGTTTAATTTCTTTTGTTTTTTTGATTTATGGCTTTGTAACAGTTGTTGTACCTTTAAATTGAGAGCAGGAAGCGAATGAACAAAGACAAGTAAATTGGACAAATCACCTTTTGGGTAGCCAGAAGGGCATACATTCAATTTCATAAACAAAATTAATGTCTTTCTAGCTCTCCGTAACTGATTCACAACATTCTGTAAAATTCCATAACAAATTACAGAAAGTGATTTCCTTATCTTTGCTTTATATATGTGATTTGAATATCTTCTCTCTTCCTCATCTTCTTGCTTGTTTAATTAAATATGATGCTAGTATTGACCCAAAGGCAGAAATTGAAAAGTAGAACCATTATGACTGAAGAATTGCCAAATTGGCACCAGTATTTCTTTTGTCTCCAACTTACTGTGCAAATCATAAGTGTAGATGTATGATTACCTTTAGAGAATGCAGTTAAACAGTACTTCTGGAGAGAAACTGTCTCCGATAAAAAATGTAGAACGTAAAATGTACAAATATATGTATGTGCAAATGTATATAATGTAACATCTGAATGTATATTATACTGTCTGTATGTCTGTTTATGTGTGGTAGATGGTAGATATCATGTGGAATGTCTTTTCGTATCCCAGAACCAAGTATTTACAGAGGTTTAACAGGTTCTGGCACCAATATAAACGCTCCTTTCGCGTATGATATGATGCAGAAAGGTACACTGGGGCTTTAAAAGAAATATTACATAAGCCCAATGCTCTTCACATTTCTGTATGTCATTATCAGATGAATATTACTGAGCGCAGTTCCTTTTTCGTCCCGATCACTCAACACAACAATCATTTCCATACATGTTTAAAAAACAAAAAAACAACAACTGCTGAGCTAATTGCGGCAGTTTTCAATGTTATGTGTGAACGAGCTTGAAGTAACGGAAGATGTAAGAATATAAGTTAAAGATGAATTTGGAATGCTGAAGGTCAACAAGAAAGAGTAAATATGAGATCTCATTTTGATTTTATTTGATTGCAAAAGGGTTGGAAATATACAGGGTGTTGCTCAATCAGCCCTCCTTACCCGTACAGACTTGGTCAGAGATTGCTATTGATATCTGAATGTGCTAAGGTCCATATGACCTGTAGACGGTGTTGTTTCATTATGTTGCATAACTTGTATCCCGGTCATCTAAGGAGGAAAAGAGGGTTGAGTCTGATATCGACCCTGTTGAGAAAATGACAACGGTGTTCAATGAAGAGGATTTAACCCTTTGCCTACTGAAACTGAGTGATTCCTGTATATAAGCCTATGGCAATTAATGAATTCAGTAATCAACAGATTAATGTATTGTCTGTCCGGTATTCCCTACATTTACCCTAGCTGATCACAATTTAGTGATCCATTATAACTGTCCCTCGTATCATTATCTTTTTGTTTTCTTCCACATTAAAAAGCGGAAAAAGGAAGTTTGTATTAATCTAAATGTACATTGTTGATGTAAACATTTTTGTTATAGCTGTTTGCAAAGTATTTTAGTTTTTCATGTACAGTAGAAATAAATGTTCATTTGAAAAATGAATGTCAATGAACTTAGTATGTCTAAACATCAGAGATGCATTAGTTATAAATGCTACTTTGTTTTACATTTTTACATTATTTGCATTTTTTCTTCCGGTATGAATTGTCTATGATTATCCCTTGCTTTTGTAATTTTTAATATTAGTTATAATTGGAAGAGATATTTTTAGGGTATTGTACCATTATTCTAGGGTGAATATTTACTTCTGAAAAAGCAAGACATCAGAAAAGAGTAGATAAAAAATGATTGCCTCTGAATGAGTTAACAGAACATTTAATTCTATAAGTTCAGAAAAGGTGAAAATAAAGTTACAATGTTTTACTAATAAGATTTATGGTTAGTGAATGAGAAATACAGTTGTAGAAGTAATTTGTTATACTTACAAATACCGGTACTAATCCAGAATGAGTATTAGATGAGTACTTTCAGTTTTGAACCAAGTACATTTCATTTGCCAATTTCATGTGGTGTTCTTACAATAGTTGTTCTTGCCATTATATTCTGTTTATTACAAAATATGAAATTTCCTCTTGAAATTGATTTGTTCCAGGAGTCCTTCATATGGTATGAATTTTATTTGTTATTTTGAAACGACAAGCTTGTAGACTAATAATGTTGAAGTCTTTCTTTTTTAAAATGATTTTATGAGTGGATATATTCAATACAAGGCTATAGATTATAAGTGTTCTCTACATTTGAATGAGCAGTCTGCAAAGCAATTAAAGCGCTATGCAAACGTAGTTGAATATGACTGAATTTTATTTCATGTAGTTTTCTATAATTGCAATTTTACGGTAAGTAACGAGCTATTTTGTGCAATGTTAAACTTGTATTAATATTTATTCTAACGTAATGTACAGCATAAAATGCGTGCAGAGAACTTTGTTTTTTGTGTGAAATTGGCATAATTGTCAAAAGGTATGATTAAGTGATAAATGGCCCTCACAATTGGAATTTGTGATACAAGCAAACGGTTTTAACCCCCCCCCCCAAAAAAAAAAAGAGTCTTGCGCGACGCCAGGAAGATGGTTGTTGCTGATTTTAAATATTTAGAACCTTGTCAGATGAAATTTACGATCTTGTATTGCTTGCCCGTTTGTATGCTTGCTCGTTGTTCTAGCAAAGCCCTTGGTGAATGGGCTAGATGAGGTAAAGTCGACCCGACTTTGATGAATGAAGCTGTCATTTTAATCTGACATGATATACCCCAGTCACACCGCCACTCCGAACCCAAACTGATCGCTTCCTTGTCATTGTGGTAATGTAATCCAATGTATATTAATCAGTCTCTTGTTGATATTGTATATTCACCTTTGACACATAATCATCATTGTGACATGCCAAATGAACTATGTAACTTAATCAAAATGTCAAAAATCCAATTCTTTACTCTACCCACAGAAAGATAATAAAACTTTGTGACCTACTAAAGAAATTTTTCTCAGTGTTTCATCATTTAACAAAAAATGTCACTATGGTAATTGTAACATTCTGATTTTATTTGTAGTATGCACAGTTTATTGTGACTTTACAATATGACTTAACGTCCTTCTGCACCTTCCAAAGCAGTTTCGAAATGATTAGCCTTTATACAGTGCGTCCCAGAAAAAACGAAACCGAGAATTATCGATGTTTTATCATAACTTAGTCACATTTATAATCGATAAATGACACATATTTGGAAAGCTTAGATCCTTCTCTTTCATTTCATGCAACTCATATGATGCATATTTCACGCATGGGTGATTAAAATGAATTTGTAGAGAGGAAAACAAAAAGTAATTTGGCGGACGGTATCTGAGTTTCAAAGAGTAAATCACATTTCTAAAAAGCTGAGTTTCTGCCCTTTCATATGACACCTCAATCAGGAAAAATGAGCTAGGAATAACAAAGTTCTGTTTGTTGAAAGTAGTGCTTACATTTCCATAATTTTATCAAACGAATGCATTTTCACTGACTGCCTGCTGTATCAACAAGCAGAATCGACACAAGACGTAACTCCGTTTCGTTGACAATCAGCCATGCATGAAGTCTTTCGTCTATAAGTGTGCATCTGCATCTTGAACCTGTTGGACGCATCTCAAAATACTTCCGAGTTGAGCGCTGCGAAACTCTCTGTCTCTATGACGATATACAAAGATATTTAATTTTAGCTCTTGAAGTAAATGGACGCAGCTCGAAATATTTCGAGGAATGCGTTGCGAACTCTCTGTCTCTACGATGACAAATGAAGAAAATACATCTTAGCACTTGGACTTGTTTGACGCAGTTAGAGATATTTCGAGGAGAGCGTTGCAAACTCCTTGTCTATATGACGATATATAAAGGGATCGAATCGTAGCTTTTGAACGAAACTCTCTGTCTCTACGATGAGCTTTATGGCCCGGTCCCACTGGCCGACGGACACAAAACGTATGCATAAAGGACACAGCGGACGAGCAAAATTTCGGGGGTGGCTCCATCCGTTTTCATCCGCTCTAGAAATGGACAAAACTTGCGAAAATTTGCGAAAACAGAACGGAACATAACGGACGTGGGTAGTATGTAGCGGGGATGTTAAACGGATGTTCATCGGAAGCCTAGAGGATGAAAGCGGATGGAAGTGGATGACAGCTTTGAATACTTAATATACGAGATGCATACGCTTACATCCTTTCTATTTCCGTGCTACTAACGATGTATAGACGTTCCATGTACCTTATCTTTCCTCCCTCTTTCCGTTTTCAGCTGCAGCGGATGTGAGTTGCGAGGATGCCCAGAGGATGCAGAGAGGATACAGCGGACGTTTAACGGATGATAACGGACATAGAACGTTTGTTGCTCGTATTTGTCGCGGATTAACATCGTACACGGCGGAAGTTCATCCGTTCTAAAAGTTTTGTGCAGCTCAAAACTTTTTGCGCGGATGAAATCACAGTGGACGGATGCTCGACGGATAGAGCGTATGAAACACGTATGCAATGAGTACACAACGGATGCAAAGCGTTTTCCAACGGATGGCAAGATTTTTTTACGTTTTACATCCTCTTTGCATCCATAAGTGCAGTGGGACCGGGCCTTAAGATGATATATGAATGGAATGAATCTTGGCTCTTGAAGTTAACGGACGTAGTTTGAAATATTCCGGGGAAACCGTTAATAAACTCTCTGGTAGCGATGATATATGAAGTGAATACATTTTAGCACTTGAATTTGTTTAACGCAGCTCGAAATATTTGGAGGAAGGTGTTGCGGAACTCCCTATCTCTATGATGATATATGAAGGGATTGAGTGCGGCAGCAATAGCTACTGCTACCGGGAAACAAAGATTTAGATACACCATTGATGCTTTGTCCGCTAACGGCGTTACATGAAGAGTGAAGAACACGATATATGGAGACCAAAAGAATGCAAGGACACCGACTATAATGCCAGTTGTCTTAACCGCTTTGAGCCTGCGCTCCAACGCTGCCGGTGCGACGTGGTTATTTTGACCGTTGCTTGTTTGAATCGCTATGGCTCTTGCCTGCTTGACAGCGATTTGCATTATGTGGAGGTTGGAGACGACTATCAAGAACAGTGAAATGACCAAAAATGAATCGACGGCCAAGCAGAAGGCTACGAACCCAAAGCTATAGCGCGGTTCTCCTCTTTCGCGGTTGGCATTTGGAACTTCGTTTAGGTCAATGTAACCGCGTAATACGAGAAAAATCAGACTTGAGGTCCAAATGGACGCTATCGCGTAACCAACGCGTTTTGGAGTAACCAATGCGGGATATTCAAGCGGTTTTGTTACTGCGACGTACCGGTCTACGGTAAGGGCAATAATGTGGAGGAGTGTACTCGAACACAAAGTGAAAAGTGGTAACACTAGCAAGTCCGCCATGATAGGGTACCACTTCTTTTGCGAGAATGCTGCTGGGTAGGAGTTAAGAGCAAGAGCCAAACTTGTCATCATATCATTTACTGCTAGACTTGTTAGGATATAGTTCGTCGGCGTTCGTAGATTGTAGTTTTTGTAAACGGCCAAGAGGACGAACAAATTCCCAATGATGATGAACGCTGCCAGCACAGCGATAATTGTCAACATCAGCGCAAAGAAAAGCCCACTGTCGTGCAGGTTTTGGGAATAGGTTAAATTCATAATTTTACCTTATTCTTTCCTGGTAAAACAATCTACTCTCCTATCCTTCTCAAATGACGATAATAACATTTATTATTTAGCGCCTCTCTTTCCGGTGTAAGCCATTAGAATGCTCAGAAAACTTTTCCGAGTTCCGTCGCGAATCAAAATGTCTCGTGATTATTTATGATGGCAAACTCCTTCCCGATCGATTTTCGTGCCAGACATCTTTTAGACACGTCACCAGACTCGACACACACCAGTGGCAGTGCCTTAACCGATAGTTCACGCAGGCACCGACATGGGCAGTCTGTTCGCTACACGTAAATATATAAAGCTTGCAGCATGCTGGGTATTTTTATCTGGTTCACTGGATAAATATCAATCTTACATCCGTGTGACCATTCAAGCTATCATCTGATGACGTACATGTCCGCGAGAAAATATAGACAATGATGCGTAAGAGCCGTGTCCCATGCTGGAGTCCGGGTTGCTGAAACTCTTGAAACATATTAAATACCTCAGAGATATATCTTTCTTTTGCTCAATCTCCCCTACTCTTCGACTTAAAGAGCTGAAGCAGTTCCTGAAATCATATTCCAGACAAATAAAACTAAATTAAGTCAACATTTTCAGAACTCGTCCCCTTCTTTTGTTAATCCTGGATCAGTCAAGATGTCAATTTCACGAATTGCGAAAACACAAAATCTCCTGAATAAAGTAGGGGTCTGTCCTTCACGCGACTTTCACATATTTTGTCTGATTCCGAAAATTAATGATACTGGATCATGAACCTGTCGGAAATGTTTTGATGATGGAGCGAGGGCATTAGCAACATATACGTGCTACAACACGAAATGATCCATGCTCCTTCCCCTTCCCTCTGTAAATTAGTACTAAAAAGTTGATCTTTAATCGCTTGTCAGAATGCTTAGTGGGCGCTTTTCAAAAGTAATTATACCTGCGTCAATCATTTTTTTATTTTGAAAAACCGAAGTTTAGTTCATGTAGTTCCTTACTGTAACAAAATTGTGCATTAATATAAGAATACACAATACTTTGACTTTCTCGTGTCTTTCATACATGTTTTTATCGAGACCTTGCGATAGAAGGTTTTTTAATATGTAAAAACCGTAACAAAAGCAGTGTCAGTCAATCCATTCCAGTTATTAAAAATCAATCATAGAACTTCATTAGATGTCATTGCATATCAGTCCTATAGTATCGCTTTCTCATAGTCTTTTCTACTTTCCTCATTTGAGAAAAATATTGATACTAGCAATATCTCATTTTACGTTCGTAATATAGGTCCAAAGGTCTTACTTATTCATAGTGAAAAGATGTTCGTTCGCTGACTACCAGAGGGGCATTAAATCATAATGTGGAGTGTGTGCACGTGGGTGTGTATGTGCGTGAGGAGGAGAGATATATATTAATATGAAGTATACTTTGCAGTTACTGAGTCTTCGCCAATCATTTTAAAGAACCAAATAATTTTAGTTCTACATCCAGTTTCTCTTGACCATATCAGTGCTTTTTTTTTTTTTTTTTTTGGTCTCGAAATTTGAAATTTTGACATTTTTTTCGTAGGGGGGGGGGGGTTAAGGTCACTTTACGTTAGCCGTGGGCATAATTTTTTTTTTAAATTTAAACAAAAAAACGAAGGGGGGGGGGTAGTTTTTTTAGGGGGGTTTACACTTATAGAAATACCAAAGGGGGGGGGGGGTTGAACCCCCCCCCTGCGTACGCCCCTGTATCCAACAACCTGACACGAGTTAATAAGCGTGGTGACTCTTATTTGAACACTTAGTCAGTATACAATCGCTCACATTACGCGGTGTATGGCAGGAATTGTATGAAACGCTGTCCGGAGATGTTCCATTTTGGTTTTGCCATCGGCTCGTTCATTGGACTTACCAGAAATCAAACAACATTCCATTAACACATGTTGATCTTGTTAATGTGCAGATATTACCCAGTGAATACTTTTGCCTTAATTAGCTTGGCCAGTCCTGTTTCGTGAGACATTCAGATTCATCGCCATCCATGAATTTGGATCTCATCTAGCTAGTCTATTTAATTGCATTTTAAAGAGTATCATCACAATGAATGAAAGTACGGAACCAGCTCTTTCTGCAGGTCATCAATTTGCTGGCAAAATAGTTGTCATGGTGTGTATTACTCCTTTCCTACCTTTCATCGTCGTCAGCAACGCTCTGTTAGTGCTAGCAGTTTACAGAAATTACAGCCTCCGAACACCAACAAATGCCATTATTGTGAGCCTTGCTATCTCTAATCTCCTCGACGCCCTTGTTGGGATTCCACTGTATGTGCATGCAACCGTCTTTAAATTCGATGCATGGTGCTTCGCTGAAGAAAATACTCCTAATTATGCTCTACCCCTGAGTGCATTATCTGGTGTTTCGTTTTGTCACATTGTGGCGTTGACTGCAGATCGATTCATAGCTGTTACGAAGCCGTTACGTTATACCAGCCTGGTGACGTTTAGACGCATTGCCATCGTCCTGGGGTGTCTTTGGCCTCTTACTATTGTGTCTAACACCGCCCAATCTGTTAGCTTAGCGCATGGATCACATACAAGTCACGACCAGAAAGAAAGGGACTGTGGGGCGCCCTTAACTGGGACATTGAACGTTACCTTCACCTGGTTGATGGTTTGTGTGACCGTGATTTCAATGGTTGCGCTGCTTGCCATCAATGCTTTGATTCTTCACATCGCAGTGAAACAAGCGAGAAAGATTGCGAGTCAAAGAGTGATCATTCAGTTCCAGAGGCAGCAACTCCCAGTACAAGATGACCGATTGAAAGCATTTAAGACTATCTCCCTTGTCGTGACAGTCTTCATTATCTTCTGGTTTCCGATTCCCCTGTATTTCATATTACGGCTTACAACGTACCTATCACCGTTTACTATTATGGTATACAATAATTCCTTTCTGGTATTGCATTCAATAAATTTGGTTGTTAATCCTATCATCTACGGCTTCAGAGATCGGGCTTTTCGAAAGGCCTTTCAAAATATCTTGCGCCAATTTTTGATAACGTAGTAATCTTTCGCAGTTCGTCGTAACCCCTCTGACGCCATTTTAGCGTGTGATCTATCCATTGTCACATCAAAGGAGCACCTTTTGTCCTGGAAGAAACTTTACATTTTTTGCAAAACATTACTTTACTTTAGTTTGAGAACCTACAAACCCGACTGATGGCCTGTCAGAAGTAGTCGAATAAGCAGTATCTCTAACTTGGTTCATTGCATATAGTTGCCTTAATAGTTGCGAACGCGTTCATAATTTTAAATATTAAGAGCCTCGCAGCAAGCAATGGAATTGACGATGTTTTAGGGTTTTCTCGTTTGCATGGTTCCTCGTTGGTGTAGCAAAGCCCTTGGTGCGTTGGCTAGATGAAGTGAAAACGACCCGACTTTGATGATAAGATGATTAGTGGAAACGATAAATTTTTAATCTGATTTAAACGAGATATCTAGGCTAAAATGACGTGAAACATAATTATAATCATCCCCCGCAATATGGTGCTTGTTTCTGTAATTATTCATAGGTGATGAGCAAATATTGGACAATCATAACTCCTCCGGGGGTAGAGGAGCATGTATGTACTGTAATTGCACATTCAAAGGTCAGTTAAAACCATTTTATTTCGGTTTGGTTGTCTCGTATCCTTAGATTCTGAATAACCTGTTCTGTTGGTCACGTTATGCTTGCACTCTATAATTTTGATGCTTATTGTGCACAAACCTGTTCATTTGCGTTGTATTAAGATAACAAATTCTTGAATTAAGCTGTCATTTTAATCGAATGAAATCTATTCAGGATCATAATCAGGATCCATTCGTGTTTCTTAAGATGTCATGTGTTATTGATTTGTTAAGTGCGTTCGCATATTGAAAGAACGTCAGTAAGCATTGATTATCATTGACACAAATTGCTATTTATTCTTGATGCCATGTCTAGTTAGGTAAACAAACTGGCCTTTGTGGTCTTCTGTGGGTCTTTTCTTTAACTTTGTTCTTTATATTGTTCGTAGTGGGTTTCTTAGATCTAACGAACATTTATAGCCAGAATATTGTTGAAATGCATATAGACAATGATGGACCCCTAAAACATAACATGTAAGCACTTTGGGTACAGTTTATAAAAAGATCAGTCGGTGACATCGTCTAAGTATCAAACTTGACTTAGGAATCCGATTGAAAAACAAAAAACGAGGTGAACGCCATTTGACTGTTGGATTCGATTGTGGTCCTAACATTATAGTATGATGGCGTTGTGTGTCCGGACACTTAAGAGATATAAATCCTCCCTCATGCCTTTGAAATTCATTAAAAATATTCATCAAATAGGACTACAACCACATGAATATTTGTCCTGTATGATATTATATAACATCAGTCTTAAAATATATATGAAATATTGGTTGTAAACTTCTTCAAATTATTTGCTGTTTTTAATCAACTGTCCGGATACAAACCATTTCCGGACACACAACGTCTGGGTATAATTAATGGGGATGAGAATCAGAGTAATGTGAATGAGCCGAACCATATTTCGTGTGTAATGAAGAAGGCCAAATCAAGAGAGTGAGAGAGAGAGAGAGAGAGAGAGAGAGAGGAAGAGATTAAGTAGAGTGTGTGCGCGCGGGTGTGTGCGCGTGTTATATATTTATATGGATTCCTTTGTAATTATGGAGTCTTCGTCAATTTTTGTTTGTAGAACCCCAAAATGTTGGTTTAACATTGTTTCTCTTGACAACGTAGGTGCTGTCGTGAGTGTTTCCAAACATGCTGAAGATTGCATACAAATAATACATGTTTGCGAGTGCATTAGTGAATATGCACTGCCACGATTTTTAATCATATTAGGATACTGAACGAGCTAAAATATTAATTATTTGTTTTATTAGATGGGTCTACAATATGAGTTTAACGTCGGGAAATTGACGGTTGTTATCACCATAATGCACT